TGTCACCAAAGACCTCTTCCATCCCGTCCTGCATTTTACGGAAGAGCTCGTCGCGTCGCTAAGTCGGTGTCAATTCTTTCAGACTACAGGGCAATAGTCTTGGAAACGCACCCTCTTCTGCGCTTTGGTCAAAAAGAAAACATAAAGGGTGTTACTGATGCGGTCCACGACCTTGCTCAGTGATCCGATCTCATGCTGTGGATCTCCTCTGCGCATGGTATAATAGAGGCATTGAGGAGTCACCGCAAATGTGTAAGCAAATACTCACAGATGCATATAGGATTCGCCATGGTTGATGGTCCATACGATTTTCTCATGAACGTTCCTAGAGAACTGCAAATGTGCCACGGCCTTCCGAGCGGCGATCCCGTATTTGTCATTGCCCTTGTGCTTATCCTGGAGGAAAGGCGTCATCATATCGGAAACGCGCCAAGGTTTGTAGCAAGACTCGTACTGACCGGAGTATCCTTGATGTAGTGATTCAACGGGTCAGCAGCGTTAGCCTTCCGTTCAGTTTCGTCCGCTTTCGGTATGTCCCCTTATGCGCGGCAGATCAATCTCGGGCTGCTTTGAGAAATGCATCGGCGTCACGGGACATACTATATAGTAGTAACCGAGGCACGATTTTCTCGGGCTGTGAGGCGAAGTAGAACGCATCGTCGGCATCCTTGCTACCTTCTGGTCCGCGCAGTGTCTCCTCAGAGTCATTAGTAAGCAGGTTCTTCAGTCTGTGCTGGGCCGTATAATACACAGGCATGTCGAGGATGCGGCGAGCTCTTGGGCAAGTATCGCTTACAAGGCGCAGAAGATTGCGAGGATATAGCCACGAACTCTCGTCCTTTTGACTACCAGCGCGAGCTGCGGCACGATAAGAATCAATGTACGCAGTTGACCTGGATTGATGTGCGCAGTCAGTCACGTCGAGACGCTGCGCGCAGCCTTATGGCAGCACTTACGGGGTGTGGTAGCACGAGAACTGACGTCTTCCCCATAGCGGCATCACCATAATTCCAAATACGGTGCATATATTTGGTATGAGCCATTCGTAGCAGGTGGGTTGAAGATAGTAGAGCTCGAACTTCCCTCCAATGATGTCAACGGGGAGATTAAGACGAGGTAAAGGAGGGATTCAATGTTGAATTTTGGTGATACCAGCATTACGGTCTAGAAGTATTGGTTCAGCAAGCCGAATGGTTTGTATAGCATAGAAGACGCGATCATGGACGTGGCTTACCGAACGATTTTCGTCCATACGTCATGAGCATTAATGACGAGACGACTTACTTCATCGATAGTGTCTGAGATTTCTGCATTTCCGTCTCATTTCCAAGGTATAGAAGCCCAAGATCTTCGTTGTATGGGGCGGTAAAGCAACCACGATACTCCGGAGTGAACGAATGCATCCGCCACATTCGAATTAGTTCAAGTTTGGGACGAACACCATAAGCGTCTAATTATTTTTGCTGCGCCCTGCCACTCAATGCATGGCGCCTTTTGGCCAGGAAATATGGTCCGAATATCTTCGCCCATGATGCTCCTTCCGACATCGTTGCCGATCGCCCGACACGCCATGACTGGAAGATAGTTCTCCACAAATCTGAAGTTGCTCGCCAAGCTTCCTACTGGTATCCGTTAGTTCTCGCGATACAAGCTCGAACATCCCCTTACCATTTCATATTCCGTCCGCCTCTCCTGAAAATTCGCGCCCGTTTATTGGCGTATTGGCGAAACCAGGACCCGTCACCTCAAGTAGCCCCAGTATAAGCATTAGGCACCAAGACCATTGCCCTGCCGGAGCCTCCGAGTTGCACTGGTACTCCGGAGAGAAGTAGTGGCTGCACTAATACGTTGCTTTACGCTTGTCTAAATTCAGTCTTCCACTGTGTACTAGAGGTTATATTTTCGACGCCATAGACCGCTGCGCATTCAGCTCAGCGTGAATCTTAACGGGCGATCTACATCGTCTTGGAAGGCCCGCTGTCAAATGCACCGCCGGGCCGTCGGACATCGCCGAATGCACTCCACTCAGTACTCAAGTTTCACTAGAGTGTCCTCACACTCTATAATGCTCCATATACGCGACAGAGGCTCCTTCAAGTGTCCCATACACTACGTATCGGATGGCGGCGCTTTTGCGCGGCCCGTCGCTTCGGGACAGCACACGTAGTAATCCAGCACAAGGGCCATCGGGGTGTATCTCCGAACCACAGACTTGGAAAATGGTCACGAAGCAGTACAATGGAGAAGACGCTATGATGTATAAGGTGCTTTCCGCTCTCGAGTAACGTCTCAACCATCTGATTGTAATGGTATATATATGCCACTTCGTGTGACAGTGCAAAACCCGCCGTCGAAGCATATACGGCGCATCATTGCCGCTTATCGTACTGTACTCACGAGTGCGTCCGACGCGAAGGCTCTAATGCTGCTAAGCCTTCATATATTTTGCTCTGTGGGCCATACTGGTCACTGATGACCTACCGTCCAACTTTATGCTGCGAGAATACGAGGATCTTTGCCGACTGCTACATTTCCTTAGTGGCCTTCAGATCTTGGACGTTCCGTTTAACGGGCGTATCCATCTCCTGGCCGCCCGCTAAAACCACCACGATTATTTTCCACGCACACGACGTCGGCGATGGTACCGACAAGCGGAACGTCAGGATGCTGCTCGTGTGTCTATCGTTTACCGCATTCTCCCTCATCGCCCTATGGTATCTGACGGTCGATTGCTGGTACGAACACGCAGCCTGAGGGGTCTATATTTCGCACGCTCTTCTGGAAGCGGATGTGTTACTCTCTGTGCATCGTCCCACCCTAGGGGTATTGGGTGGAATTGCCGTAACCCTCATATTCCTCCGCGGCCAACTCATACCAGGCTGTGAGGCGGGGGGTCGCCTGGTACATCTTCATGGCCAACATCGCTCAGACCTACATCGACGCCAACCCACTTTTCGATCTTCTGGGAGACGCAGCCAGATGAATGAGCAGCTAGATAGATGAGGTTGCACGGTCCACTTCTGACATTGCCCGACGTGACAGCTTACATAGCGATTCCCTATTGTACCTTAGAGCATTTACTACGACGTCACTGAGCTTTAGTTGCGGTCGCCTTCGGGTTCTCAAGATCTCAATACCAGAGGACTGGCCGATATTATTTGGTAAGTGGAGAGATGCATACATCATCCGGTGATTCAGGCTGGAGGTATATTGCAATCTTGACACCTTGCGTCAGCAAGCTTTAATTGTATTTTCTACCAGTCCGATTCGTACTTGGCATGATTCATTCCGTCGTGTCGGTGATTCTCGTCACGGTCTTATATTCATTGACTTATTCTTGATCATAGTCCAGTTCGTCTCGGCAACACGCAAAGCCATAGCTTGGAAATGGGCTGCACACCCGGGTCGTTACTCTCCTCACACGTCCGGCTCTCCATCGGTTTCGCATTGTTCGGCCTTGCAACAATTCATGGCAATATGATACTACACCCGCAGTGGGTGGGGTATTCATTCCCGTTCTTCTCGTACCACGCCGCCTTCACCACTCTCGAAGGTTGTCTCATCTCAACAGGCAGATGCGTTGAGATTCTGCAAAGCTGGCTTACTACGAAGGTGCGAGTCACTCGTTTGAACGTGTGGGCGACTCATATATGCGCTAATGCGGTTGAATTACTGGCACCTTCGTGCAGGTACGGGCAGTCATTGTATCTTCAGATTCTCGATCGTCGAGCCGTTGCTAGGGTAGACCGCTACATTGTGGGGCGTTGTCATCTTTTCTTGAATTGCGTCGAAATGTACAATTTAATAGGGATGATGATAACATTAAAAAACTCGGATATCGTCGCGAGCTTCGTCTCAAACTTCTAGCAAATGCGTCCCCTTCTCCCATGATTTATGACAATACAGCTACACAAAATGCCGGAGGGGATATTCCAAACTGACCGCACAGTTGCTAAGGAAGCACTTCTCGGGCGCGCAAATCACGTCGCTCATTTTGATATCTTCCCAATCATCCGTATCAATGTCAACATCCCAGCCTGCTCTGTTGTCGGCCGCAGACCATCCCTGGTGGCTTTATTCCAGTAAGTGGGGCGATACGCCCCGTTATGGTGATCCGTGCCAATACACTACCTCCCAGGACGAAGCGCATGAGCCACTTGAAGGCCTCCAGCATTTAGCCGGATGTAGATAACGGGGACGTAGGAAAGCTTGAGCAGCGTGTCTTCGACGATATTCCATAGCGTCGACGTCGCGATTTAGGGAGCTCACCGTGAACTATTCGACATGACCAGGGTTGCCTGACAAAGGTGCTGTCGGCCACCGAGTATCCTCTCGGTGCAGCGAGCACGGCGCTGATAATGATGTTCTCGTGGCCGCCTCTGGAGCTAACGCAGTATGCTTCACTTCCGTCTGGATTTACGGTTTCGGGGCGTCGTGACGATCAAAGCTTCGACAAGCCGCCACACCGCCCGCCCGCACGAATCGGGAAATTTACTGAACAAAGGCCCCTTGATCGAGATTTTGAGAACAAAAGGTAGCGCTTCTTTCTATGCAAAATGCTCATCGGGGTGCATTGCTCGGCATGCAAGACGACTGCAGGACATGTAACGCACGATGGGTCAGCAGCTATTGATCCAAGCCCCGATTATCCATTTATTTCACGAGATCTCGACTGTGCATTGCTGCAGAATCCAGTCAATACATTTCAGCACACAGTGACATGGACTCCAAGGGACCGACCTATCTGTAAATGATGATCGTTGGTGCCACTGTGGATGTAGTGACAACGAAACTGAGCCTTCTGGCATCTCCGGATTTTTGGGCGTTTACTACACAGATCTTATATTTCCTAGTTTGGCTAACTTCGGGTTGGATCAAACTCTCATGTCGGTTGGGAGATGGACGCTCGCATTGTCCCTGGCAGGTGCCTGCCCATAGCACCGCCCGCCGCCTATCGCTCCATTTTAGTGCGGGTTTCTTCTCTTCCACCACCACCATGGCCAGCTACGACGAACGTCTTCTCGACTCTGCGCCAGTCGTGACCCGTGAGGCGAAGCAGGTCGGTCTCCAGCCCACTGTGGCCATCAGCCTTTGACTCACGGTGTGTTGCCAGGAAGGGTACAATGTGGATCTGCTAGATGACTCGCGCAGGGCGGGTAGCTCCTCTCCAGAAACTCGTGCGCCACTCGCGTCGAACCACGGGCACGCCGAGGCTGCGCTCGCCTCGAAGGAACAACTAGCCCCGTATCCGGCCGCAAGGCCTATCCCCTGGTGGAAGACGAAGAAGTTTATCGTATTCTCTGTCATCTTTGCCGTTGTTGCCATCGCCGCTATCGTTGGTGGCGCAGTAGGCGGCTCCGTGCACCATCATAACAAGTCCAACTCCACCGATACGTCTGGGTCTCAGACATCCTCCTCTCCCACTGCGACCGGTACCACGGCGGCGAACGCTACTAGCGGCAACTCTAACCAAAACGGTGGGGGAAACTCTACGAACAACAGCGGGGGTAATGTGGGACCGAATGTCGGTTCGGGCACTTCCAGTCTTGCTACAACCACGGGTAGCAACTTCAATCCAGCAGCCGTGGCCAACCTCGCCCAGCCAACATCAGACGTTGGTGTGGTGGCCGGAGAGATTAATTGAAGTGGGGCAATGGGCTAAAGGACATGTATTCATGCTCGTACGTACGTACATACGCCAGTGTCTCATCTCCATAGTGCGTAATTACTCATGTTATATACAGTAGGGTTTCGGTTATACTTCATGCTTCACGGCTACTCTTTTTTCTTGTATTGTTGAGGTCTCAGGTCCGCATTTCACGGTGGCAGCGCTGTTGTCCCCGTCCGATTTTCTATTCATTTTATCACGCGCACCATGCGAATATGCTGTGTTCCTTTGGACTGTGCCTCCTTTGGACTGTGCCTCCTTTGGCTGTGCTTTAGTCACTGCTGTCTGCCAGGCACGAGCTGACAGCTACTCCGTAGACCACGAGGCGCTCTATCGATGGCTGTTCGGCTTGGGATGAGTTTGTTCCAGCTCTGCGGGATCTGCGCAAAATTGAAAAACAAGTGTTCTTCAGTTCCACATATACTTCAGTTTGTACAAGGTGCCGCGTCTCAACAACGCATTCTACGGCCATGCACATTCCTACACGCATAAGTTATCGTCGGATGAAGCGCCTCCTGTCGCCATGTATTCGAAATTAGTGTTGCCGACAATGTACTGGGCATCTCTACAGTGTGCGGACAATGCGGCCCGTAGTCATGAGCTTGAGTACTACGACTTGGTCGATTTTGGGTTACGTATGGCATAGAAAACCTAAGGTGCGCACCTAGGTTGAAGTCTTTGAACAGCATGAAGCAGTGGCAGTATGAAATGTTGCAAATTTTATCGTATGCCCGGATTTTACATAAAGGCCGCACTTCACTTTTTTGAATTCCGCCGCGATCTTTCCCCAAGCGTTGATATACATTGATAGGTCGCTCTGATCCCGCAGTACTTTCTTTCCTTCGTTGCCGCTTCGATACACCCTCCAGCCTCTTATGCCTTTTGCGACCGACGTGGATCTACCGCCTGAACCAGTCCACCGAGTTATCGGTTGGTTAAACGAGGAAGGCAACTGGGAACATGGAGGGGACAAACATGGACTCGCAGCATGCAGCCTTACCTGCCGTTACTGGGCAAAGTTGATTATCCCAACCCTCTTTCACTGTGTGGCGTTGCGTAGCACTGAAGACATCATGCAGCTTATCTTGTTTTTCGACGCGCCTCGACGCGTCCATATCTCACTCATAGACTGCATAGTCGTCTTCATTGTCGCATGTAAGGGGTTGCAAACTCGTCCATGGATCCATCATGTATCGAAGTTGTGGGATCGTTCATTCCGTAACCCCCCTGCGTTTGTGCTCAAAGTGGACGATGCAACAGCAATTACAGCCCGGCGAGAACGGCCGCTCGACTGTTTTGCTTTCGGACCCTTTCCCCTTCCTAGGACTCTCCCACACAGCTGCTACTCTTCATCGAACAGTTGGTTCTATCCAATCTCATTCTTCGTCAAAGCGACCTCTTCTCTTTCTTGGACAGTCTGCCAGGGCTATACCAATGCACATGTCGCAACATCACATTCCGCGATAGTACCCGTGTCCTTCGCCGAAGGACACTCACATCGCGTTTGGGCAGGTTAATCATTGCCATGGTTGAGGAATGCGGTGACCGGGACCTGGAGACGCAGCTTGGGCTCGCCACCGCAATTATTGAGCCGCAGAAACGGGCCAGTTTTGCTGCAGAAGTGTGGTCCAGAATGTCAAAAAACGTGCTGGCATTAGCACCGCTTCGCTATCGTCGTGTGTGTGTGGCTTCACCAAGTCATCAGGCGTCAGGTACGTTTGTTAGTTTCTGCTCTCCAGCTATCCCACCTAATGACATTCCACGATGAGGCGTTCATATCCCGAACTTTCGGGCCCGGGAAGCCGCCGGCTCTTCCGATGAGCTTACGTTGAAGTACTGCTGTTCATCTCCGTCTTTACCCACACAGATGCTCAGGCGCGGACCTGCAATAGAAATTCGATTGTGCATCACCGACGACGTACACTTGCCCGTTTTTGAACAGCCCAACTACCACGCATTTGAGGACGCTCTGTTTGGCTTGGGTGAAGTGTCCTTGATCTACAATCCAGCAGAGAGTTCAAGCTACTTCTCGACGCCGTGCTCCGCGGTGATATTCTCAGCCGCCTCGGTGCCGCACACAAACTCCATCTCACATTCCGCAAAGGCAGAATTTCGATGGACGAAGTTCTCACCTCTCCATCTGAATACACTGTCGATGATTCCATCGTCGCGTTGACTCGCCTCGAACGATTCGATTACCTCCCGCTGGAGACGACGAGCGAAAAGAACGATTTCTTATGTGCTGTGCTGAAGGACCGCCTGGCTCACGCAGTACCAGAGCCCTCCTCATGAATCCGCCACTATATTCGTCCCTCGTTCATGGTATCGCTCGGTCTCCCTGTCCCGCTTTTCACCTTTTCACCTTCCTGCGGTCCATGATTCTGCGCATATGTTGAGCTTAATGTTCATCGTCGCAGTCGTCCACGTCCCCCGGTCTATCGAGCTCGTCTTCTCATGACTCTGCACGTCCCCCTCAGGGCAATCCTCTTCACTGGGGCCCGCTTCCCATACCGTCACTCTACTACCTTACTCAGCATGCGCCGTTCCGGAGCTCCCGCACAGTCCTTTCCTTTCCTGACGAAATTTGGCTAGGCGTGATCTCGAGTTCGACGCCCAGTACTGAGCTGACGCATTCCACGACCAACGTCTATTGTTGACTTGTCAGTAAACTTGTTACCACTAGAGAACCTCCTTTTTGTATTGTCATTATCAAAAGTCTAATCCTCGCTCGGTGCTGCACCATTTATGCTGAGTCTTCCTAGATGCATTGAGCTGGTGGTGACGGCTACCACGTTGTATTAGCTCGGATAGCTGCACCATTTTCCTTCCTATGATTTGTCTCCTCTTCAGCTCAGTCAGCCAGTACCAACAGCACCGGGGACGTACCGCTGAGTCTATGCCAAAGATGTGCCCTCCCTCGCCCAGCCCGGCTACTGTGTGTAACGACAGCAGCTCAAAACAATCAGCTGTAGACTACGCATCGTAGATGTTTATTGGAAGCGTTCGCGGTGGATAAGAAAGAGAGTAGCCTTGGCGATACTTATAGAAAGCCTAGATGTGCGCGAGAAGGGAGAAAGTGACAGGCACATCCCCGCGATTAGTTCATTCGAGTCTGAGATCTGAGGCTCCAGCCATGAACTTACACCTATGTAGCCCACAAGTGAGGAGCCTGGCAGCATAGTCATTACCCGTCCAGCGGTGAAGAAGGAGCCACCATCCGGGACTTAGACCTGTCGATAGTGTTTCGAACCTTGTTGACAATTACCCAAGGAAAAGAGCATATATACCACGCTGAATATTTAAATTCCGTCTCCTTAGGTTCAGCCGCGAGTATAATCATTCTCCCCAAGTCTAGAATATGAGCTTGATAGCGTACTGGTGCATATAAACACGGCCAGGACACAGCCAGGCATACAATCGGGTACGCGCACGCGAAACCGGTTGTGCTCCGCGGGGCGTAAAGTACGGCACATAGCTCTAGTGAATCCATATTATTTTATACGCACGTCCCGGTCTAATACGAATGGGCACGGATTAATGGTGTGCGTGGTGGTCCTGGTTGGGTTCGCGCTCGCAGAACTCGAGGAACGCCTCAGCTTCGTTCTTGGTCTCCGCAACAGGCTCAGCAGCGGCCTTGGTATCAGCCTTGGTGGGCTCAGTGGCATCGTATGCAGCGAGCTCAGACGCGAGGTCAGTGGGGAGCGCAGGGGCTTGGGGCTTGGGCGGGAGCGAGTACGCCTTGATAGCACCAACGTGGGCGTCCTTAGCCTATACACAGGTCAGTGGACGCTTTGCGGAGCTAAGAGGCTACGCACCGGAGGCGTAGGCTTGTACGACTTGAGCTCCCTGATGTACATGTCCTGAACGAGGTCTAGTTCGAGGTTCGGAACGGTCAGGACGGCGGACGTGCTGCAAGCGCGCTTTGCGTACCCTTGCGGACTACGGATGAGGTGGAGAAAGCGCAAGAGCGCGAGATGGCGCGTGTCTGTATTTATTTCGTTTGAGATAATGCCCTGCAAAATGCGGAAAATAATGGACGTACGGCGCTGGAGGCCTGCCTGAGGAGCGACGAGGACATGGTCGGAAGGGATGAGCGTGTGACGTGACCGTGACGGGGATTTTGGCCTCGGTTGGCCTCGGTTTGGCTTCGGCAAGCGCCGTCCGCTTGCCGAAGCCGTTCGCGACGCCTGGGGCTCTGCCCCCAACGCCTATATAACCTTCTGCATCTCCTGAACCTTCCATATCAACTATGCTCGCCCGCATCACTGCTGTCTCTGCTCGCCGCATCCCCCGCGCCTCGCTCGTCGCGACGCGTGGCTACGCAGAGAACCAGTTCAAGTACGCACGCTTCAGAATGATATCGGTGGTGTATGCTGAATCGGACGCTTTTCTTGCAGCAAGAAGGAGAAGGCTCACGAAGGTACACCTACAGTATTGTGACAGGCAGGACGGTACGCTGATTGTTCTTTCAGACCAGTTTGCTCGCAAGCACGAGCAGGAGCAGATTAAGAAGCTCAGGGACCAGGTACGTGGTCGAGACGCAAGTATATGCAGACTTCTGTTTCTGAGAGGGTTATCGCAGATTGAGAAGAAGAAGACAGAGCTGGTGAGTAACTCTTTCGAAGTCCCGGGCGGTCGGCTGACCGCACCCCACAGGCTGAGCTAGAGAAGCAGCACGCTGACGAAGCTGCCAAGCAGCAGTAAATTGTTGCTCTCTCCAGTGCTGGCAAATCATGGTCAGTGTTTATCTCCCGCGGTATGTATATATCACTGCTCATTCGCCGCGCGTTCTGACCATCCCTATCGTCTCAATAGTGTCTCGTCTAATTAGCTATCGTCTGTATTCCCATCAATGCAATCGCTTTGAGCATGCACTTGTCTCCATTCTCATCTGTTGGCCCTTTCTCTTTATATGCGTCTGAAGTGTGTCGGTTCGGGGCTGTCGCAGAGGCGATGATACCCACGTGGCGTGAGTTGCGCCGCACGACCTAATAGTCGTTCAGGTCGTTCATATCCGAACATGACGCTGGTTCGATGAAATCAAGTATCTTTGAATGCAGGCGGTAGCCGCGTATTCTATTGTACATCTCGAGGGACATTGTATGGAATCGAATACTGAACATACAGTCGACGCTTCACCGGAAGTAGTTGCTAGCCAAGCCCTTGACGGACACCCAAGACTCGTCGAGAACACGAACGACATCTTCCGCTGGGACAAGGTCAGTACAAGAATAGCCTTCATGGAACAGATACTCACGCAAAGGGCCCTTCTCCAGATCTGCGAGGTTCTGCACACATTCGGCAGATCAGCACCCGCCTGCTGAACATAAATCCACACCCACCTGCTCGATATGGTTCATGCTTGACGCGCCGATAATGACTGTGTCGCCATGCTCGCGTTTGAGCTGACTGTGATGTGAAAGCCAGCGAAGGGCGACTTCGCCAAGCGAAAGCTCGTGCTTCTTTGCGACTTCCTCAATGTTGCCCAGCACCTTGAAGTACGGCTCGTTCCAGTATCGCTTGCGGTAGTTCTACGAGGGGTCTGTTGTGAGCATGCACAAAACGTTCGTAGGGTAGACAACGAACCCGTCCCTGGTTCTTCTCGGGATCGAAACGCGAGCCCTCCTCGGGCTTGTCCTCCATCGACCGGTACCTGCCGGTGAAGAAACCGCCTCCCACTATCAATGGCGCGATCAGTTTGAAGGCACACTACAACACTCAAAAGACCTACGCGGGTTGTACGCATAGAAGGCGATCCCATACTTCCGCAGACAGGGGAAGAGCTCCGGCTCGACTTGACTGACACCTTCGGTAAGCACATGCTCCTCCGCACACAGCGCGCGCGACTCACCGGTGGACGGCGTTGTAGATGCCTTCATACACTGCGGGCTGGACATAGCCCTTCGTACGGCAGATATGCACAATCTCGGCAACCTCCCACGCAAAGTAATTGCTCAGCCCCCAGCGGTGGAACTTGCCCTCCTTGTGCAGCGTGTCGATTGCCTGCAGCGTCACCTCGTATGGCGTCGACCGGTCCGGCGCGTGCAGGTACCACAGGTCGATTGAGCTGATGACCCCGAGGTCAGGAGCAAGTACAATAGGCATGTGGAAGGGAGCTCACTCGGTCTGCAGAGCCTTCAGAGTGACGTCCAGCCACTTGCGGAGATCCTGGAGAGCGACGTCAGTAAGCAGGATCACTGAGTAGGCAGAAGCGCACCTCTGGCCCGTGCGAGATCTTGGGTGCACCAGGCTGCGAGTAGCGCGTATCCACCTGGGGCAGCGTCGTCAGAATTTCGTCAGTATGTCTCAAGAAGGCAAGGATACGCACGACGTTAGGGTAGAGTTTCGACGCAACGATCAGGTTGCGTTTCTGCCAGCCAAGCTCGCCGAGCATCTCTTCGCTCGTGCCCTTCGTGTAGCTCCGCGCGGTGTCGAGCTGTGCACAGAGTGAAAACTTAAGGGTATCCTGCGGAAAGCAAGAGTCCACGCACCTCGCGATGACCATGCGCCTGAAAGACGTCTAGGATCTTGCCAATGTCCTCGATAGTATGTACGCGAGCCTCTGCACGACACGAATCAGTTCAATCGCGCAAAACTGACAACAATAGAACATACCATCTATGCCCGCTCTTCCGAAGGTCATGCAGCCCTGCACACCCATTAGACGAGATGGACAGCATACTCGCCGCACTCACCATAGCCACATTCAACGTCGACTTCTGTTGTGGGCGAGCCATGATAACACTGGATGTCCTGACGCTTGCGGCAAGGGCGCGAATTTCGTTCAGCTTCGGCACAAAAAGAAAGCAGGCTCAGCGGGGAGATGCAACGAGGCAAGAGTCAGGGAGCATGTTTGCAAGGGCTCTCGTATTTATGCAAGGCCCCCGCCGGCCCCCTGAATCCCTGATTTAGGTCATGAAACTGGAGTAGAACGAGGAATCTCTTCCGCCTACGGGCCGTGCGGCCTGCCTTAATTGCATCACGTGGGCGTGAGACGGTATGCAGCGCGACGTCACGCGAGCTGGCGCGATCATTTGGAAGACTGGGAGAGCCGCGGAGAGCGACGCTCCTGGCAAACTTTTGGATTTTGTAAACTGCACAATTAGTAAAGCAAGAGCTCATAGGTCCCAACGTATACTGCAGGTTCGTAGGCTGCGCGTACTTATAGGCTATGCAATATCAAGTGAGGCATCGTGACCAGACTCAAAGTTCCTCTTCTCTTCCGCCAATAAGACGGATAATATTTTCGTATGTTGTGAAGACGATACCACCGCTTAGCTATAAGAAAATCGTCAAGATGTACACACGTTGATTGTGGCTAGATGCACATACCATTAACCGTACCAAGCGCGGCGTCGTACCCGTCCAAAACCGCGAGATGCCCTCCTCCGTAAATATACGGTATCCGCAATGGAACGAGTTGCGGTATTGTTGTCTTGCGGACAATGATTGCATGCGCGTTTTGATGACGCTGTAAACGCAGTTAAACCACCAGAAGAAGGGCTAGATGATGAGGATCGCAAAACTCACTCTAGGGGCATTGTCGTGTAGACGGTAACAAGACCCGCTATGGCGCCAATACCAAAAGTAATGCTGCTAGGTAGTGATTGGCCGGGAGGAGCATTGCTTTGGACGAACTGCTTGAGGGTCGTGTAGGTTGTGAAGCGCACAGCAGAATTTGCACCTGATCAAAATTAAAAACGGGCTACGGTAGACGTGTTGCTCAGGCGTACCCTGACGCATCATCTGCGTAACAAACTTTAGCGTCGTCCCTTGGCCTAAGATGTAAGAGGCAGACGTACCACGGGGAAGAGACCGCGGTAGACCCCACGCAAGCCCTCTTCGCGAACAATGGTCACTGTTCCATGGATTAGTCCTCGGAAACGAGGATTTGGGTTCTTGGCGTCATCTATAAGCTTCGTTCTGTATGTGTAGGTGTTAGTATTAGTCGTAAACTATAAGCTAAATGCGCTGACTTGATTGTTTCTGAGGGAGTGACCGCAAAGACAGCTTCTGTCACGCCAGCTCCAAGACCCGCTACGCAATACGAATGTCAAGCGGACTCGCGAAGAGATGAAGCAGACACACCCAGCAAACTCCGTCCCGAGCTGACTTTGCCCTGGGCCAAACCGTGATGAGACACTTGTGATGGGTCGCAGACAAGCACTAACCTCGGAGTCAGCAAGCATATGCTTGAAATGGTCATAAGAAACAAAGCGGACTCCTGCCTTGACAGAGTTCCCTGGGCTATCCTTAGAGAAAATATGTTTCAGGAAAGTAGGTGCGTACCAACGACAAGAGCTGTACATCCTGAGTAGAGGCCGGTAATGCCCTTAGTTTTCAGAGTATTTCGGATGATTGTAATCGGCGGCTCTCTCTGAGACGGTGAGATAAGAAAGCAGTATAAGAGGTCTACGCTAGGCCGCGCACCTTCCCGCCGAACTGAGACGTAGTTTTCACGAACTCGGTCGGATACGTTATGAAACTAGCTCCTGTAGCTTGTCAGTTCCTCCCACCTCGCGTGACAGGCTGCGACACTCACGCCTCGATCGCGCCTGCCGTTGTGCCCGCGATGAGCGAGTGAATCGGCTTCTCTTTCTTCGGCGGCATATCCAGTGGTCGTGATGATGGTCGTGGTCAGGGAGCAAGCCGTCGAATGACTCCCGCCGCACGCCCGCGAACTCACGTCACCGCGTCGCGTTTCTCTCCCACGAACGCCCGTACGCTTTACCCCTCGACCATGTTCTGCTTGTTCCCTCCCAGGCCCGGGCCGAACTTAAACACTGCCCACGATGTCGAATGTGCTCCTGCTGAGGGCGCCGGCGACGGACGGCCCAGACAAATACGAGGCGGCGTTCCGCGCTGAGCGGTACTATCCTGTCTGCGTGCCGGTCCTCGAGACCGTACTCGTCAATGGTTCTGAACTCGACGAAACTATACGCGCCGGTCCTGAGAAGACAGGCTTAAGTGGAGTTATCGTTACTAGTGCTAGGGCATGTGAAGCATGGAAGGAGGCCGTTTTGCGGCTTGTCGATGGGCTCTCAGGGAGCGCAGGTACGCACATCTAAAGCCAGGACTTGTTACGGCTGCTCATAGACACAATTCCAGACTGGACGGGGGTACCTTTCTATGTGGTAGGCAAAGCTACCGCCTCGGCCCTCAGAGAGATTCGGGAAGCCACAAACGATTCTCGCCTTGCCCCCGTAGACATTCGAGGCGGGGCGGAATCAGGCACCAGCGAGAGGCTTGCACATTTCATTCTGCAGGAATTGCCTCAAAGAGACGGCCCTCGAAAATTTCTCTACCTCACGGGCGACAAAAATCGCGACGTTCTGCCAAACATCCTTCGAGACGGTGGTATGGAGCTGCAATCTCTTCAGGTCTACGCCACGCAGGGCTCTACGCACTTTACCTCCGATCTTGAAAATGTGATTAGCTCGGCACCCTCTGGTACGTGCGGCTTTCCTGCTGATAGTACCTATGCTGAATGGCGCTGCAGAATACAAGGACTGGTGGATAGTATTCTTCGCACCTTCGGCAGCCGAGTTTGTCACACCAATTTTACGAAAGCACTTTGCTATCCCCAACGCAGAATCGGAGTCTTTCTCGACCAAAATCGCCGCTATAGGTCCAACGACGCAGGACTTTCTGAGGAACAAGCTCCAAGTGCGAGTCGACGTTGTGGCACCGAGACCTTCTCCAGAGGCGCTGGTCGGTGATGTTCAAGCCTTCGACGCTGAGGAAGAGCATCCGCGCGTGTATTGAACGTTTTTGCCTAAGGTGTGCCAAATCAGTGGGATTTGTGTATCTTACTGGGAGAACGCATACGCCCAATATTCATCTTTCCAACTATTATCGTGGCGCGTGAGCTGACAGGATCTGCTGTTCAGTCTGCGTGCCACAATATATTTTGTTAGTTGATACTAACGCATTCACCCAACGACTTCACTGAAGATCAGTAGTCGTGGCTCCCATTTGTCTGGTAAAGCAGCTAATCAATACAACCTATCGCTCCGAGATAAATCAGTACGTGTCAGAGTTCGCCAGTTCATCCCCCGGATGGGCTAATTAGTCTAGCTTTCTACGTATGATGAGATACGGCTCATCATTGATCACGCAATAACCGCTGCAGTATCTTGCTATCGGATGGTCTGCGCAGGACACGCCGCAAAAGACCCGCTTACAGCGGTTGTTACGCCTTCAACACGCTGAATCCAGACTCCTTACCGTCGTCCGTGGGCGGTAGGGCTACATCCCTCCCTCCTTCGTCACGCCCTACTAACCAGATCTTGACCCACACTAGCCGATCACCGCCAATTTCATTTGAAAGAGTCACGCGCCGTCGCACGGAGGTTCTGTTTCGTGCGACACATCTCATCATGCCTCTATCAGATCCGAATTTCCCTGGCAATCGGATCTGCACTCTACGTAAACATGAAGCGGTATTCGAGCCGCGATGGGCCACCCTCAGCTACCTGTCACTGTCTAGCCCGCATAAAGAGGGCGCAGGCCACGCTGTTGGGCTGCTGGCCCCTTGCGGTGGATCGTTCTGTTTTCCTCCGAGCCTGAAAGGGTGTCTGCAATGGGGAGCCACGCTCCGATGGGCGGACGCGGTGCGCTGCAAGCACATTGGCTGACATGCTCTTCAACTGTCCAGGGACGATTTAGTGAGAAGAAATAAAGCGATTCATTCTTTGCAGGACTATTTCCCGAGGATATATACAGCATCGCATAACTTACGATATCGCGAGCCAAAAGGAGAACGTCACCAGAGTATTGAGTCTGTTTAATGCCCCGCTCTTCATGGATACCGTCCTTTACGGCACAGCTACGCGTCGGCAGGTTTGTATTATCTTTCGAAATATCAAAACCTGAATTCGAGCACAGTGCAGGGCTGAAAATACGGACCTGCAGAGTTTGGGTGGCAAAAGACGGCACTGCAAGCCGCTGCCAGACGGCCATGAGCGTCCAGAAACTCCCGATTTTGCCAACTGTAGCTGTAGCGCGCAACCATGGAGTGGTATGCCTGGATAACCTGGGCTGATGTCGCATATAATAGGGCAAGATGATCGAAGAATTCCATAGAGGTAACCTAGTAGGATGCATGCAAGATACAGCTCTGATTTTTAGCCGCTACGTCTACGTCTTAAGCTTATTCTAGAAATTGTCAATCAGATACTTGCCGTCTTATCTATCCACGACCTCAAACTCTGGCCTCCGAGACTCGCAAGCCATCATTCCGTCGATATCAGCTCTCTCTTGGGTGTATCTACCAGCCAGCAATTCTTTCAATTCAAGGTCATTGGTTCCACGCCCGTGAGATTGTCACCACAGCGGCTCAGGGCAATATCCGAGCCGCGACCGGAGGTACAGCTGCTGGGAATGGTTTTCACATCCCCAGGTATTATAGACACTGACTGGCATTTTCTTTGGTCACATTTGCTGGACGCCGCCCACAATCTACAACGATTGCGACAATAGCAACGTTCAATGACCGAGCACAGACAAGCAGTGACCCATCTTTGCGAATAAAAGTTGAGTACTTGAGTGTTTACGATTTGACCGGCGTTGGTGGGACAATTGACATTCGCTGCGTTAACGTAATGCATTTACCAGATAGGGACCCGACGATGCACCTGCTTCCGCAAACTTTCATGTGGCGCGGGTTCTCGTGCATTCTCGATGCTCTTGCCTGTTCTCCCCGTGGCTGCAGCGGCTCCCTTCCTCAGCAGGGATGCAGACAATGATGCACCGCCCGTCTGGTATGTTTCATTAGCATCAGGATGTGGTCGGCTCTTGCGGGCCTCACAGTCACCAGTTCATCGTTTTTAGATGTACTACTGTCGCATCGCCAGAACCAGTGCTGATGCCGCCGGCCGCAGAGAAGTATGTTCATCCTTTGACAGATCTCCGCGCAATTTATAGAGCTGTCGCTCGATCCGTGATTGATATTCGCTGACACCACCGCGGAGATCAGTTGCGTCGCTCGGATGCAAGGTATACGGGTCACTCGGAGGGTGCGAACTCATGTGAGGTTCTTTAGTACTCCTTCTGACAGCCCTCTCAGACTTACGAAACTCTAGACTAGAAGGGTCTATTCGTAGCTTCGCCGACGAAAAGTCCATGCCGTTGGTATGGTACGGGACCTTCTGCCTACGGACTCAACGACAGCGCTCGGCGACCTCCCGCCGTCACCCTCACATATCAGTAGCGGACGGCAGCGCCTTTCTTGACTGTTCAGCGCTGTGCTTTGGCGTCCTCTGCGGGTGCAATCGCCTTGAGCACCTCATGCACCAGGTACTATCACGGCGTACAGATTCTGGACGCACGCCGACCCCAGTACAGAGTCCGATCGGGTAAATTAACAGCTCCCGTGTGCTCAGCATCAAACTCTACCGAGCCGTTCGCAGGACCGAGGGCAAGTCAACTGTCCAAGGCGAAGTGGCGTCAAGTTGTCGAGAACTTCTTACGCAGCCGTCGGCCGCTCATGATGATGAGAAGGTCAATGTGGATAGGGTGTGCCCCTCCGCCAGCGTACCCGAAGATTTTACCCCGCCCTATAAAGCTAGGATCTCGATGTCCGTCGGATAACTCCCCCTGCCGTCATGGATCTCCAAGTTCCCCAGCTGCCCTTCAAGCTCAATCTGAACGATACGTTCGGCGTGGCTATGATCTGTGCATTCTTTGCTGCTATGTATGTCTGGCTTCAGGTAGACGTAGGTGGGCTGCTAACCGTTGTGTTAGCTTGTATGGTGTCATGTGCCTGCAATGCTATATTTTCTTCCACAGATTTTCTCAAGAAGGACGGCGAGTGAAGTGCTCCGTCTGGCTACTCTGGTATGTCTCGAGATATTTCTGGCTTGTCTGAGACTGAATATTTCAAAGGGTCATGAACACAGTTCATCTAGCATTCCTTATCCACCCGCTCTACACGTATGTCCTCCCGTCTGTGGGCTGTTGATAAGCTAATCACATCGCACTTCCTGCACAGATATATGGTCACAAATTTCGACAATATCGCAATCCTAATTCAGATCCCGTGGTGCGCGTCCCTCTCTACTTCAATCCCTTTTGCAGCTCTATCATTTGCAGGCTCGCTGATATGGCCGTTGCAGGAGTATCTCGGTTTGTCTATGGTAGCTTAAGCTAGGTCACGCTTACTCACTATTCATTGCTATCTCAGGCTGGTATTGTCCTTTCGGTACGCGTGTCTTTACCTTGCGCCATTGCCTGCGCTGATTCGCCGACGTTTTTCCAGATTTCGTCCAATCTGCTCGTGCAAAGGCAAGTTACCTCAGGTGCGGATAGTCAAGGTCTAGCTGATAATGGTTGCTACTATAGCTGGTATACCTATCGGATTTGGATAAGTGGGTTCTACTTCCGCCGTGCTTTCGCTCAATAATGTGACCTCGGTTCTCTGTAGTAAGCGACAAGAATTACTGCATCGTTATGCCGCTAGTAAGATTCCAAAACTTCCCTTTAATACGCTTTTCCATAACGATTGTACAGTTTGTCGGAATACTTGCGGTGCTGGGTGCGTCCTTGTTATTTGCATATGTAGCTCGTACGAGCTGACGTGTATATCATAGGTACCAGTGTAGGTATGTATCGGTTCCATATCATTCACCAGAGTAAACCTTATATGTCGAAAATGTCTATTAAGCCTTGGTTGTCGGAACGTAGGTTTTCTGTCTCTATACATGCACGAGCTCATTTGACAGACTCATTACAGGCTCACTATGTCACCTTTGACATATTTCTTGTCGCTCAACGTGCGTTTCGTCTCAGTGGGAAAGGTTGTTGACTGACCCGAGTTTCAGCCGGTGCTCTTCACTGGCATGGCTTTGATCATGACCGTTGATACCTACATCTCGATCGTGCTGGTAGTGCTGCTACGGCGCCAGCGATCTCGAGTGGTTAGCAAGCGGTGCGCCATTCCTTTCGCGAGACCGACCGGTCCTGACAAATCTATCGTAGGACGATGTCAGCTGTGCAATTCCTCATGATGTACACCGTGAACACAGGCTTGATCTCGAGGTGAACTCCGCGCAATTGGTACCACGTAATGCCAGGCTGATTTAATCCTTCAGTGTTGTCTCGCTGGGAGTTATCATTGCAGTACGCCATCGAGCGAGAGCTTAACAGATGCGGCGTTGACCTTACCTTGCAGAGAGCTATAGCCCCCGCGGATATGATCTATATCAGCAGTAAGTGCCCAATGTGGCAGCAGGTCGATGGCTAAATGCCTTGTGTCACAGTATACTTCATCCTCAGCCCGAGTAAGTGCATCGTACCTGGTTTTCTCAAATTCACTGCTCACCACGATTTGCGCCTGTAGTTTACTCCAATTCCCTCATGGGATCGTGAGTGTTGTTCAAGTTCACACCTCGTCATATCGCTTACATCCACGGGCAGATTGAATGCACGCGACTGGTTCCGAGATAACGAACCGACGATGAACACGATCACCATTCGAAGCCAGGGTCCCGTGTTTGCTCACACTCAACAGCAGTCCGACTCTATGGTGGGTATCCTACCTGTTCAACACATCCTTTGGCTGATTGATAGGATAGCTCGACGGGTCTGAAACGCAGGATCCTGTTCCGCATGTTGCCATCAACATCGGGCTCGATGAACAGAAGGCGGAGTTGTGAGATGGAGATGGACTTCTACAATAAGAAGTACGTATGTTTACGACAGCCTTCAGCTTGAAGACGGATGTACCTGTGGGAGATGCCGGTCGGCCCCTCATCACAATTATGTTCACGCCTCCTACAATAATGCTGTAAAATATTCGCTTCGGTTTTGTGCGAACCTATTTATCATGGCCTTCTTCACAAAATTTTGTATTAATATTATATATATGGCTGTGCGGTAGCGCGGGCGGCTGGGAAAGGTAGCTGGTTATCAGTATTCTGCTTTTCACGCCCGTGATCTTTGGGCAGATGGCATCGAACCTAACGTACGGGCCCTGATACAAAGCTGTTTTCTACTTGACGGCGGTCACTCCCAGACGAAGTATCCCGTTCTGAGTCGCAGGCCCCAGGAGATGGAGGCTATTGCGCAGACAACTAGTACTTCAAATCCTTTGCTGACCGCATCGGGGGGTGGTATCCTACTAGTCATGTCATTCATCTATGCCTACCGCAACAGGGCCATAGGCAGCTCTCCAGATACGGGCATACCTGGACCGAAAGGGGTCCCCGTGCTCGGGAATCTGAGGCAACTGCTGCCATACAAGGAAGACTTCATTGGCTGGCTCTCAAGCAATGAGGCCATCTACGGGCCTCTGTTCACATATACTGTGCCGCGATACGGACGCAGCATCGTGATAGACCGGCCAGAATGGCTTGAACATGTCAAGAAAAGTGAGCATCTTGTGAAGTTCTTACAAGCGTCGTGGCACTGAATGCGGAGAATCCAGAGGACATGATCACGTATGGCAAGGGCGAAAACACGCTGGCTGTGTTCCGAGAGTTCTTTGGTAGCTTTAGCCAGGCCAGCACAGAAGGTGAAGCCTGGAAAGCGAATCGTAAAATCACTGCGTGTGTATACCTTCAGTCTGACTACCGTCGTGGCACATACTGACGTATCGGTGCCAGTTCTTTGGTCAGTATCAAGACCTTCGACAAACAAGTCGCTCGGGCAATGGGAGAGGTATGCCGTATGTTGCCCGAAACATGCGGCCATTGACTATCATCTCGTAGATTATCCCAACTGCAATGGAGCTTCTCTCGACGGTGGCCTCCTCAGAATCTATTATCGACTGGAACAGTGGGTGGAGTTATTTGTTGTTCGCGAAATGTCCGCCATCTAAATTGAAATCCAGTCTTCACAGGACGGCTCAGTCTTGCAATGTTGTTCCGCATCGCGTGCAGTGCAGATTCCTGCTCTTTGACAACGGAACCAAGCTGTCTCAGTACTAAGAACGAAATTCTCGAGGCATTAAATACTTGTGGGACCGTCACAGCGGGGTACGTACCGAAGTTGTGCTTAGACATTGATAATTGACCTGGAAGAGAAGCCGCTTTGCCAATCCGCTCTGGTTGTACGTAGAGAAGGTACGCCGACCTTGTCGCTCCGTATGCATGTACTCACCGTCTTTGCAGTATAACGGCACACGCGAGCGATTCACGGCGGCGCGCGCGGGGTTGTGGGCAGTCGCGGATCGTGTCATCGACGAACGCTTGAAGTTGAGAGAACAGGGGCTCTCGAACGAGGACGATTACCTTTCTGTGCTCCTTGCAAGTGAACTGGACAGACAGCGGACTCGCGAGACGCTGGTCGCGCTCTTCTTCGCCGGTCAGGACAACCTCGTGAACGTGCTCGGTTGGTCCCTCCACGAGCTCTCCCGTAGCCCGTTATGGATGCAACGTATGATAGACGAAGCAGAGGCGAACGGCGCCGACGGGCGCATCATAGACTACAACTCCGTCTCTGTGAGTAGGCTGCACACATTCCGAACGTCGTAGTTAATTGCGTCCAGTCGTATCCCGTGCACCTTGCTGTCTTGTATGAGACTCTCAGATTATGGCCAGGTGTGCCGAAGAATTCGCGCTACGCAAAGGAAGACGATGTCTTGCCAGGAATACCATTACTCGGGTATGGCCCTGTAAAGATCTCGAAGGGAGACTATGTTGTTTGGTCAGACTATCTTATGATGAAGCGTCCCGACGTAAGCCTGGTGCTGCGCCAAGATTTGGAGTTGAATACTGACGCACTACTAGGTCTGGGGAGAAGACGCACAGGTGTTCAATCCTGCGCGCCATCTGGATGCTGACGGCAAGTTTGTCAAACCGCCACAGCCTAAGTTCCACTCCTTTGGTGCAGGTCCCCGGTTCTGGTGAGTTAAAATTATTCGTGGGCAGCCTTCGCGTTTTGACTGTGTCGATCCTAGCTCTGGTTCCCAGCTTGCAACGTATGAGTTCGTAGAGGTATGGACTGCACTTCTGCCACTGTTCAATATCCAGCCCGTAGAGATGAAAGATCGGAAAATGGCGGACGGATTGACATCCACTATGGCAGGCGACTTCCTCGTCCGAATAAAGCATCGTCAGTAGTGGTACTTACGAGCACGTTCAGTAGTGTTCGGGTTTGGCAATCGAATCTGCAGAGTAAACAGAAATGAGGATGGACAGTTTACGAGCCCTTTATTCAAAGGAAGAGATGAGTCATCAATCCAGGGATCTAGCTCTATGCAACTATAAAGGCATTATGATACAGCTCTCGGAGTGGAGAGGCGTGGGATAAACATTATGATAGGTGATGCATGAGGGCAACGTCGAAAGCGTGCAGGGGGGAATGATACGTAAAGCAAGAAGCCGAAAGCGACGAGACGGAAGAAATGGTGGGAGTGCAGAGGAAAAGGGAGAGGAGATCCTTTAAGAGAAGAAGTAGAGCGACTTCTTGATCGTTGTCACGTCAAAGCTGCCCTTCTGCGGAAGTGGTGGGAACAGGTCGACGAGGTCGACGAACTTGTAGTCGGCGGCTTCCTCGGAGGTGCCCTCGACGATGTCCTGGATGTGCTTGGGGAGCACAAGCTTCGTCTTGCCACGCTTGGTGCGCTTCATCGGCTTCGGCTTCTCGCCGCTTTCGAGGTCCACAGCTTCTGCTTCCTCCCGCTCGTCGCGCTCCTGCTGCTCGTGCTGAGCAATAATCTCTTCCGAGCGGGCTTCTCCCAAACTCTCCACAGACACGTCGTTGAGCTGCTTCATGAAGGTACCGGTGCGCAGGGCAGAGACAGGAACCTTGTACCCCTTGTAGCGTTCACGGAACTGAAACAAGAATCAGCGCGAAGGATATCGTACGAAATATGATAATACTCACCTCCTCGTCCAGCTTAGCCATAACGTCAGACGAGTGTAGGGCGATGAAAGTCTCGCGAATGATCTCAGACATCTCGTCAACGGAGCAGGCATGTGTCCAATATGAATCGTGGACGGAGGCGAACGTGATGTCACGATTCTAGACGTCTCGTGAGTAATGTCACTTAACAGAAGACACTCGACAAACTTACTCTGCACTGTAGCGCAGTAAGCATCATGTGGGTAGCATCGAGACTGTGAATGAAGTTAGGCGGGAAGGCAGAGGCCTGCTTCGTGCTGTTGACAGCTGCCGGGACGTTCGGGTCGGAGATGAACACGGTCTGGAGCGCAGTATGGATCTGCTTGCGCTTCGTCTGTCTGTACGGCTGCACAATGGGCAGGCCAAGAGGCGTCGTCCAAATAACAGACGTCATCTGCTCTTTCTTCAACCTGGTCTCAACTCTACCCTTCTTCGCGGACGGCTTTGTCGCCTCCTCGATGCGCTCCGGTGGAATTGACTTCGAGATCAGCTTCGCGGACAAGTTGAGCCAGTTCTGGATGTGCTTCGCGCCCGTGAATAGATCACCAATACACGCGAGGGTAATCTTAGCCAGGTACGCGGCGGCAAGCCAGCACTCCTCAGCAGGAAGATCGCGACGGTCCCGAAGCTGGCGCTCGATCTGGTCACGAGCGCCAATAAAGGTGACGCCGTACACAGTGGTCATGACCTACAATACTCGCTTAGACATTTACGAAAGAACCTAGAGGCGCGACACTCACAGTCTGCTTCACGACCTTACGGGCGATCTTACCCGAGAGCATCTTAGCGTACCTGAGGTCATTCTTAGCATCCTGCGCGAGGACAGACTCCACCATGGTTGCAACGTGAGTGTAGACATCTGATGGCCTGTCAGTGACACTGAGGTTGACCTGCTGCGCACCCTGGGCGTCTCCACCGAGGGCAGCGTAGTGTTGGAGACCGTTACAGGTACCATCCTGGTGGACCGGAAGCGATGACGCATACTCAGTCGGCTCAGGCGATTCGAGGGCCGCCCTGATCTCCATGCACGTCGCGAGACACTGCCAGGGGTCGTCGGCCTTCTTCCACCAGCCACGGCCCTCGAGCGGGTTCGTGGCGCTATCGAAGATGTCATCGAGATGCTCGTGCACGAATACGACACGTTCGTCGAAGCTGGCCTTATCGTAGCCGTACAAATTGGCAAGATGAATCTTCATCCACCGGAGGCCACGCTCGCCGAGGGGCTTGGCCTCAGCAAACTTGAGCAGACCACGACTCAGGTCATCACCAAGATGGTTGAGGTTAGGGGGAATAGGGTATGCACGTCCACGGAAGTCGACGTTGTGCGGAAGGTAGACGGTATCACCAAGGAACTAACCAGCACTGTCAGCAATACACGCAACCAGAGGCACGTATGAAGACTTACTGCGCGGGCAATTTCGATCTTGTAGTTGGTGTTGCACCGGTCCGAGTGGTTGTTCGCCTTCTTAGACATATACGCTTTGTGACGTTGCAAGTACGCGACCTTCGCCTTGGGATCGGTGTCGTGGTCCGCCGGCTTCTCTGGCTCAGGCTGGTCGTACATCGCGGGCGGAATCTTGCCCAAGCGCTCGCCCGAGTTCCACACCTTCAGGACCACATCGAAAATATGGCGGTTGATCTTCCACGGTGTGCCGCCAAGGACGTCAAGACTGGCGTACACAAGCTCGAGGGCGCCCTGTGAGGACGCCTCACGAACATAGCTCTGCTGCTCGCGCGAATCTTTGTACCGCATGACCGACGTCTTATTGTACAAGTAGCCACCCTGGTCATGCGATAGCCACGGCTTGGGTCTGACGAGCATGGGCAGGTGCCGTGGGTGCAGCGTCTCGCGCACTTGATCTTTCGCCAGGCGATCCGCAACGACGGGGTTGAGCTTGATAACACCGAGTTTTTGTCCACGGAGATATTCATACGAGTGGTAGAACGCGGGTTGTTCCTCAGTGTGCAGCTCGCCGTGCTTGTCGATCGCTGTGCGGGAGACAGTAGCAACGTCCATGAGAGCGTCGACGAGGAAGCTGCCAACACGAACGCGAATGGTCTGCGTCCATTCTGAGGTCCACTCCTCATAGTCCTCCATGTACTTCCGCGCAGCAAGTCGGCGCTCGTGCAGCGCCCTATATCCGAGGTTGGAGAAGAAGCTCTGCTGACGTTGGGTCGCCGGACTGGGAACTGCGATATTGTTTTTCTTGCACATCTCTGCCTTGTACTCGATCTCGACGGCCTTGCCGACAGAAATGAGCGCACGCGCAGTCTTCATGCCGTCCGAGACACCGCCGGCGCCCTGTAGGTGCATGAGCTCGAGGATAGTGATTAACGAGAGCTTCTCAGGTTTAATAAGCGTTAAGAATGGTGAGAGACGGGACCCCGCGTTCCTTTCAGCTGCGAGAGGGGACGTCAGTTCCGGAGAACGGATGGCGACAGAAACGGAATACGCACTCAGCGCCATCTCTGCCTTGATCAAGTTCTGGATCTCGCCCGCAACACGCATCTGCAGCTTCTGGTGCCACTGCCACAGCCAGCCGCGCAAGTCGGTGCTGTCCAAACCCTTCTTTCCAAGACCTAGCTCCTCGAACATTTCTGCCTCGTGCTTCCATCGCTCGACAGCAACATCGTACACAGACTCTTCTAAGAGTTTTTGCCGTGCAGAAGCATCCTCAGGAAGGACACGCCGATGGAGTGTAACGGCAGCCAAGTGTTTGCGGAGGTTGGTCAGGTTGAACGGGACTTCGTACTCAACTTGCGCAGGCTGCTCGACGACGTCAACGCTCACAATTTCACCTTCTGCGTTGTGAGTGACGGCAAGAACGGGCTTCTGCAGCAAAGTTAGCATTTGTATGTTGTAAGAATGGTCGCGTGACCTACCTTCGGCTTCAAGACAGGGATTGCCTCGGGCACGTCGACGAGTGGGTCGGGGATCTGGCTACCGAGGATCTCAGCAGCACCAAGCTCGGAGACAACCTTGGACAAGTTCATCTCGACGGCGGCCTTCGACAACAGCTTGATAATTGCAGCCGCTTCCTCTGAATCCTGGAAAACCGGGTCTGATACAACCATTGTGACGGAGATGCCACGATCGGTGATGCATCGCAGCAATTGAGATGGTGTATAGAGGTCGATGGTCCGTGAGACCGGGTTGGCCGAGTCAGGGTGAAAGCGATGCCAAACGAGCAACAGCAAAGCGTAGGTGCTCCCTGTTGGCGCCACGTCGTTACCAGCTTCCATACTCTCGTAAAGCGCGCAAGCGTCTTCGACCCAGTGATTCCTCCGTAAGCTTTCCTTGGTGGTCGCCATCTGGAGATATGCATGGAGGATAGAGTTGTAGAGCCGGTCGTCGAAAATCGGGTCATCTGGCTTAGCGGCACGGAGACGGTCGAAAACACCCTGTGCACGCGGAACGTCGTACAGGTTGTGCAGACAGGCGTCAATGACCGCAACAGAATCCTGCGTAAGCGTGTCTGTAAAATGTATGTCGTTCGACTCCGACGACGCGTCGTCCGGCAGAGGGGTCGGGAGGATGGTATACGGCGTGCGCTTGCGAAGAAAACCTTTCATATCGGCGTACTTGAGGTTGAGCTCACCAGACAAGTCAATGCTAGAGCCGACGGCGTTTTGTGGCTTCTGCATGTTCATAAATGCAGGGAAGTCCGGGCTTGGGACAGAGGCCGTGCCGAGATCAGGACCGGGGGCGTTGCTCCTTTTCGTGGGTGTGGTATACAGACGGAAGGGTCGCGGCAGGCTCTGTCTAGAGTACGACAGCAAAGTCGTCTCGAACCGGCGCGAGGAGGTACGTCTTGTGAGAGGTATCATGATCACTGCCCAAAGCGAACTGTCAAGTTGCTAGCATCAACGTGTACAAGTGCCGGCATGTAACCAACAAGGCTCACCGAAGTTGCCCAGTTTATGGAGAAGGTCCCAAAAAAAACCCTGAAGACCAAGCAATGGCAGAACTCGTCGGTGCACGAGACAGACCAGCTGGTAGACCCGCTAATCAAGCGTTTCCACTTCCTGTCGATTGGAGATTTTGGGCTGCTTTCTGAAGAGACAGCAGCCAGAGCCAAGGAAAAGACAGGAAGGAAGAGCTTTTAGTGTTGGGCGAGTTGAACAAGGCGACTGTTCGGAGGCGACTTGCAAAGGGTCGACCTTGAAATTATCAAAAGTTTTGTTTACGCCGAGTAAACAAAGCGAAGTTGATCATGGGAAGCTCGTGTTTCTGAGGCAATATACATTTGCGAAAAATCATTTCAGCAAGCGGGGCTCAAGCTGTACTGATGAGAAGCCTTTCGGAGTTTTAAGTATTTAGAAGGAATTTTATTTCGGAGTGTGAAAAATGATAAGCTTTGGCGAATTAAGCTTTCGTAAATGAGGTGCAAGCATCCCTGTGCATCGCCGCCCCGCATTGGACACTTCGTGTCATTTTCTTTTCACTCCTTCATCACTGTCGACAACAACCAGATACCCCTAGACCAGCTTTCTGGATCTTCCTGTGCCCTCATAACCCTGTTGCCTCGCGCGAATCGCCTGCCCCGCCTGAACTGAGTTTCGCTTCAGCCCAGCGATGCCCCGAGCACTCCATATCCCTGGCGTGTTCTTCCTCCTATGCGCCTTTGTGCTCCTCCTCCTCGTCTCAATATCCCTACCGTTCCTCCCTGCGCTCGACCTTACGCGCGTGCGCTTTGAGGGCAGCCCGTCGACGGAGATCGGGAACCAAGGAGCACTTACCGAACTGCGGGTGCGTATCTGCACAGCTTCCTCGTTCCGACGCGCTTTGCTGAATTCTGGAATGGCTGTCCGGTGCTGTAGTTTGGAATATGGTGAGCAGCTTGCTGGAAGGAGAGGAGAACAAGCAGCTTATGCTAGTTAGGGCGTATTGCTGGTATGAAGCGTCTGGCACGCGGACATGCAGCATTAAAGGTACTCGAACGTTTCAATGTGCAGTTCATAGAAGGTCAACTATCGCCTGCAGGCCACAATTATGCGACAGTTGTCTACAACTCGGATATGACCAGCTGGCAAACTGTCGGTCCGTCCTGGACTCGCGGACAGCCAGCTCATGTCGCCGGTGAGTGTCCCTCAATCTCCGCACATCTCGATCGCGACAGTTCGTCGTGGTTCCGAAGCCTGAAAACTTCGCCGCAGGAGAGAGCACTGAGGGCTAAAGAGTATTACTTCCGCAGCGGCGGGCTTAGCGTTTCTCGCGTTCCTGCTCTCGCTCTCGACACACGTCACCGTGGCGCTCCTCGCTGCGCTGATGTCCTTCCTCGCTGCGCTGCTCACGCTCGCCGTCCTTGTGATCGACATCGCGTTCTACACCTATGTCAAGCATCAGATGGCCAAGCTCGTCGGCGTCAGCGAGCACACCAGTCCTGGACCCGGTGCGTTCTCACTCCACTGTCGTGCGTGTGCAAGCACATGCTGACACGTGTGCCGCCGTACACAGCATTCTGGATGACCCTTGCATCATTCATCCTTCTCTGTCTCGCAGGCTGCACAGTATGCTGCGGTCGCAGGCGCGATCGCATGGCAGGCGCGACCAGCTACCTCATGGCCTCGAAGCAACACTCCTGGAGAGACCGCTTCAGACGCGCATGATTTGCTCGGCAGCCCTTACCTCTTCCGCTGCTGAAATAAACATGCTGACTTCGGACCAACTCAAGACGTCTTACATTGATGCTTATGGACACCCCACGCATCTTGCATATCATATCCACAACAGTACTACATTCCTGAACTCGTTTGCTGCTACCAGGAGCCGTCTTCGCTGTTATAGATCTGCGACTCCAGCACTCCTTGTTACTTGTCCATATTGTATTGCTCTCATCAAGGAAATTGTGCGTCGGTGTTGGCTCGGCCTTACCACCTACTGGTTCACCCGAATACGAAGCTGACAATCCAGGCTCATCCGATATACTCAAAACGACAGCAGCACTAAGACATACACAAGAAGACCTCGAAATAAAGTGACGAGCAGCACGGAAAAGCATAGCATATACGCAGCATACATGCAAGGCAAATAGCAAGAAGCGTACGCGCAGAGCCTCAAGGTCTGGGGCACACACAGCACAAACGACACAAAATGAGAGATTACGAGGGTTGTTCTGCAGCCTTCTTGCCCTTGGGGTTCGTCAAGCTCTTGTGAATGAACGGAAGGACACCTGTGGGCGAGTGCGTGAGGGATGTGTGCAAGTAGGTTCGATCGTGGCATGTGGACGTACCTCCGCCAGCAATGGTCGCGCGCACGAGCGTGTCAAGCTCCTCGTCGCCGCGGATGGCGAGCTGTAGGTGGCGTGGCGTTATACGCTTCACGCGCAGATCCTTAGAGGCGTTTCCTACGAGAAAGAACGCGTCGTTAACTGTGCGCGGAACGGGAAAGCGCGAGGAACGCACCGGCAAGTTCGAGCACCTCAGCGGTCAGATACTCCAGAATGGCAGACGTGTAGACCGCGGCCTTCGCACCTATGCGCACATTGTGCTGTGTCCGCTGCTTGAGGTAACGGTGGATACGACCGACAGGGAACTGTACAAACATACATCAGCGTCAGGAAAATGCCAGTAGCTCAGAGCGAGTACAGGCGGGTAGAAAGAGGAAAGATGGTCGTGTGCATCGCGCTTTCGGTCTGTCGAACGCTGAAGTGTATAGACTCACCTGTAAGCCCGCCCGCTGACTCCTCGTTTGGAGGGTCCTTTGCGTATTCTTTTTGTCGTTCTCTTCAGCGTGCGCGGCAGCCGCAGCGGCGGCCTTGGCCTTGGAAGCTTTGGTAGGTGAAGGCATGTTTAGGTGATTCTACACGTCCGTCGCGTGAGGATCGTTGTATCTGGCCCTTGTCGCGCACGAAATAAATCTGAGAGAGGCGAATTTGTCGAGTGGGGGCTATGCACCGTCTCGAAACTCCGAACAAAAAGTGGCGGGTACCAGGAAAGGGTGAGAGGCGAGAGCGGCCAGGATGTTACGGACAAGATGGACGTTCGGGGTCAAGGAGCGGAAGATTAGGGGCGGACCGTGCGAACGAGGCAATCAACTACACGCACCACGTGCATAAACGCGTCTCGCGTCGTGCGTGACCCCGAAGAGCGCCCTTATAAGCGCCCTAACAAGCGCCCTGACGTCAGTCGCACCACAGGTCTCCTCTGCCTCCACACCCGTCGTGGCGTCGAACAGCATATAAACGGCTCTCGAACTCGTCATGATCGCCCAACAAGCAGACAAACTTCATACCCATCGACTCCGAATACCCTCAGAGCTTTTCTCTATATTATAACAAACATGTCTTCCGCTGCGAACAACTACGACAACGTCTATGTCAGCCAGCCTCCGCCCGAGCACCACAAACACCAGTCTTCGGACGTTCTTCCAGGTGCTCGCGGTGCACAGCAGCCAACTGTAGACTACTCCGCGGATGTCACGAACGACAGCGGTATCTGGCACAGCCAGAGCAACAACGAGCGTCGCTTTGGTGCAGGCACCGACACCGGCGCTGTCATGGCTGGTGGTCAGCACGCAGGAGCTGAGACGGAATCACCGTCAACGCTCGAGGACGTAGGAATTGGACGTAGCTCTGGCACCGGCCAATCGGACAGGCCCATGAACGCTCAGCAGGCACCCGCAACGTTACATTCATACATATTCGGTTGTTGGGTAGCTCTGGCGGGCATGAATTCCCCGCAGGATTTGACATCACCTCCTTCGAAGATGCCCTACACGAGCTCGACAACGTTCCTCCGGTTGAGATCAGATTTGAGGTACAGGAGACTACCGTTGGTTTCCGCTGGCTCCTCAATGCCGTGCTCGACGGCGTCGTCCTCAATCGATTCAGCCGGTCCAGCAAACTCGACCTTCGATATGCTTGCGCGGAGACCTCCATCTCTATGAATGACGTCCTCTCGTCGCCATCAGAATACGCCATCGACGATTCAACTGTGGTGCTGAGTGCTCTTGAGCGCTTTGATTATCTACTACTCAAGACGCAGAACGAAAAGGACGAATTGCTACGCGCTGCACTGGCTCGTTTGCAAGCACCAGAAGGCACCCAGCTTGCATCTGCATAGGCTCCAGACCGCCCTGTGCGTCTGCCCATACCCTCTGCACCCAGATTGCCCATTCAAGCTCTCGCTACGTCGATATAATTTCCTGACAATATTGAGCTGCTTGCCTCTCTTGACTCAGCTTGTACCCCGTACTTCCTTCGCTAGCACCTCTGGACTTTACTATACCTGGCTCGTACACTGCTTCTGTGCTTAGCCTTGCGTATTACTCTACTTATTGCGGTTTACTTCTAGCTCGTGTTCATTATTTTCTCATGGATCCACTCGCTGTCCATCTCCAGAAAAAAGGGTGGTATGGTCACGCATTGCGCGTGGTATCTATAATACACATGATATACTACGATGATTCGCTCTAGTCGAGGGGTACACGCGCGCGACCTGCGGCAGCATCCTTCCCACCAGCTTCGCGAAGTTCTCCCTTCTCGTGGAGGGCAGGCTTGCGCATCATCTTGCCCGCAACCTGCGGGTGGAATATGCGATGAATCGGTGAATAGGCCGACGACTGAAGTGGCCGGACATACCTTCTGGGTCTTGCCGATCAACTTGTCAGCTGTCTTGGCGTGCCCCTCTGGGAGGTTATCTCCTCCGTCGACACCCGCACCGCCTGGACGAGAAGATTAAAACATGCAATCTTGATCTGAATCACGAACATTACCTTGCGATCTCAATATGAGGGTCGGACCACGGCGGAGCCATGTCAAAAGCGATTGATACCAGATTATGGGTATTGTCTGGCGCCGCTTTGAATACAAAACAAAGGGTCCCATTTTCTGTGACCGTGATTGAGCCAAGGGGTTTGCAATGTTATGATCGTGAGCATACCTCTGAAATTGCGGCTTACACAAGCTGAGCAATAGCTCAGTGATGTGAGCGCAGAGATAATTCGTGATAATGCCTTCCATATGTCTGTTGCGAGATGAATCCGCTTGTGAGGCTCAAGAATAGCAACGCCGAGAGCTGTTTGTGTCCCCAAATGTCCATCTTCGCATCCTGTGATTTTAACCCAGCGGAAGGACTTGGAACGGCGAGAGAGCGGTCGTCGGTATAAGGTACGCGCCTGCCCGCTCGTCTGCTGGCGAAATGTGATGTTGCTATATTCGCATTGATATAGTTCTGGTAGGCAATCGGTGAGGGTGAACAATTTAGCCTTGGAGTCAAGGACGAGATTAGAGATGGAGAGCTCGCGGATGGGAGTATAATAGCTGGGGGGCAGCGAACGGGGAAGAGGGAAAGATCCACAAGCAAGGTGAGATGACATAGGCTTGCGGAGCGGCAAGCTCACCGACGCATTGTCGATGTAAACCATGGATTCAATATCGGGTACGCGCTTCCAAAGGTCTGGCAGGTGGTGTAACCAAGGGCATGCCTGAGGCCCAGCATACTCAATCGTCAAGTGGTAGATATGACCAGCAAGTGGGATGCCTAGACGGTGCGGAGCATCGAGAAAAGCTTTCAGCTGAGCAACGTCTTTAGCATTGCGTAACGTGAGCCGGCGAAAGAGCGCAGGAATAATAGACTCAGCCCAGTAACGACAAGTTAGGCTGCATGCAGAGAATCCGCGTTTGTTCACATAGTCTGTATCGCTGTTTATAAGGCATATGACGACGTGGCTTATGATTTCAGGAGGCAGTTCGCTCGCAGTCGTGGTTCCGGAGGAAGTGTCCACTTCAGGAAAGCTAGCCATCGACCAAGAATATGCTGATTCTGGCGAGTAAAAGAATGTGAATGCAGATGGTGTGTTTCTCTACAGCACTTACAATATATACCAATCGAGTCACGACCGTCGAAGTAGAAGTGAGGACGCTGTCATTCATGCGAAGGGGCAGTCCGCACAGCCGGTCCAGTCTGATCTAGTTAGGCGCCTTGAGATCCCAGGCTTCGGCGAGTCTCCGGCGTCATGCTTCGAAGGCCGCCCGGGCGGTGTCAGCGCGCCGAATATAGCGCGCTGCGTCGGTCGCCCTGGTGCTCAGCAGCAACCAGCTGCCCTTTGCACCCGCGTGCGGCTGTTGCTGCTGTGGCGGCGCGGAGTTGCGAGGCGAGAGCCGAGGAGAGTATTCGTTTGGGCAATTGGCCGGGGCAGCCGAGCAAAGTACTAGTTGCTCGTCGGCATCAACATTCTGCGCCCGTGCAAAGCGGACAGCTTGAGGTGAATCCTTCCGAATGGTTCGATTGTCTGCTACTTGAGAAGAACTAATTTTTTCGCAGCACGATATGGACACATCTGGCTTTTGTACAACTAGAGCTGATGTCCTGATCGGATCTTACTATTCTGTTCGTCCGCGGCATCGGTCTTTTTGATGCTCCCCTCATTATTCCACTTCTGTTTGCGTCTTGCCTCTCCTATCCGACACCTTGTGCGTGGGGGATGATAGTAGTCGTCGGCATCGCCGCGTGCCGGTTCTTCTTGCTTCAACTTGCAAATTCCCCGTGCTCTATACCCCTCCTCGCTGTGGCCTTTCTTACCTGCCAATGGAGGCGAGAATCGAAAGGGAAGCTTTTATGTCCAGTGTGCTGACGTCGAGTCTTGCTGATGCGTTGGTCTAGAAGCTATGCAGATGCAAGCTGGGTGTCTTCTGATGCTCGTAAACGAACCAGTGCGGCGCGTAGCAATTCGTCCTTTTCCTTCTGCATCTTGAGCAGCAGATCTAGATATTCGAAGCGCTCGAATGCATTACCCAGTGAGAAAGCGTGAGAAATTCCGGAGACTGACAAGGGGACAGCAGAATATCAGTTCAAGAATATGATTTTTGCATGCCGCGAAACCTACATCGTGATTGCATTGCATGCCAGATATGTTTCGCTATTATCGAGCGGAATTCGACGTGCGGCGCAGTTTCTGGCATGTCATTGTCGGTTTGCACCGTGCCGACTAGCTCGCCGTGCAGTGCGATGGTGGATCAGGCCTTCAGCGTGCCATTCAGAAGCGGGCTTCATTAATTGGCCAAGCTACTCTGCTGTATTAAAGGTCTCGTCTTGCAGATGGTTGCCATCAAGATCTTCTCGACTGCTACGAATTCTACAGCCGATGAGCTCGGCACTTCGAGACCGGCAATTGGTAGGTCGGGACATTGGTCGGTATGGTTCAAATCCACAAGTATCGTAACTCTACTGACGTTCGGAAGCTTGAAGAAAAGTCACCCCGCATTCGACAGTTATGTTGGTTTTTTTCATTCTTCCCAGCTCAACCTATAGATTCTGAGATGTATAGAAGGGCAGGTAGACGTGTCCGAGACAGCTAGCTGTTTACGGCCTGAAGGCATGCCTACAAGCAGCGGACACACAGTTGTGGTCAGTTCTCATAACCAGTGCGCACGCACAATATATCCCTCAGTGATCGTCAGGAGCGAACAGATGCAGAAGGCGCACATGCTGTACAGCAAGGTTCGACAAATTGACGTCGCACAACCATCTTCTCTTCTGGGCTGTATATAAAGTCCTGATTGCCAATTATCTCTCTCACCACTGCCTTCCTCCAAAGCATAGCCCACTATACGATAACGCTGCCGCTCTAATACCCTGACCTTCTCATATCTTGCGCGAACGGGGAATGCCTGCCGCCCGAGCTATCGAATAATCCTCTGCTTGACAGGAAGTTGGCTGAACGTCGACAAGCGAGGGCTCGCAACATGCAGTCTTACCTGCCGTTACTGGGCCCAGCTGATCATTCCCGTCCTCTTCCAGAAGGTGACTTCGCGTGGTGCCGAGGACGTTGCTCAGCTCCTGTCGTTCATGAACTCGCCTACACGAGTCGACGTTGCACTGGCATGCTGCATATACTACATCACGGTCGAGTGTCAGAGGCCACAGACTCGTCCGTGGCTGCATCATCTGTCAACCTTGTGGAGCCAGCTTTCCAACCTACGTTGGCACGTCATCAAGGTGGATAACGTATCTGCAATCTCGAGGCTTCGCGGCGAACGGCCTCTAGATAGTCTATCCTCCGAATCATCTACCCTTCCACGGAACCTCCCAGGCAGTCGCTACTCCCCTATCAGTTACATATCCTTGTTCAGCCTCGTTCTTCGCCAAAGAAGTGATCTGATCTCATTCTTAGACAGTCTGCCGGAGCTCAAGAGATGCACATGCAGAAATGTCACATCCTTCGATAATCCTCGAGTATCCCACAGAAAATCTTCCAAAAAGCACCGTTGGGTTGGCGTTGAAGATTGCGAGGATGCCGCTCTGGAGGCGCAACTACATCTTGCTGTTGCAATCCTCGAGCCCCAGAAGTGTATCGGCCTTGCCGCGGATGTGTGGTCCGTAGTACTGAGTAGTGCGCCTGCGCTCTTGCCGTGGGGCTGCCATTTTGCGCGTGCCAAATGGTCCCTCGAATATCGCGATCTGGGTACGTCCATTTTACCTATCTTCGAGCTGTCCAACTCAATGGTTGTACCTTAGAGAGTCCCTTTCGCAAGCTAAGCCTCGCGTTTCGGGACACCGTAGGTTTCAATCGTAAGCTAGCGGTGGATTATCACATCCCGTTCCTACCCCAAACACCGCCATTGAAACTCGGCACATATTGTCGGTGAAAGTCAGGCTCTACGGCACTTCCGAGGAGCTTATGCTCGAAAGATCCAACTATCGCGCATTTGAAGCCGCGCTTTTTGACCTGGACGACGTTCCCGAAGTCAAGATCAAGTTTCGACGAGGCTCCCGCGGCTTCAAGCCCCTCCTTAATGACGTGCTATCCGGCGCCGCTCTGAATCGTCTCTTTCGAACAAATAAACTCGATCTCGTGTACGAAGCTCACGGTGTCACTATGCGCTATATCCTCTTCTTGTTCCCCGAGCACACCGCCGACGGCTCAACCATCAAGCTGAGTCCCTCCGAATGGTTCGATTATCTGCTCCTCGAGACAGTGGGCGAGAAGAACGAGTTTCTTGGTAATATAGTACGGGCACGTCCGGCCTTCGCAGAGCCGGAGCTATCGTCCCTTTCGAGCATATCAGGGCCTAGAAGTCATCTTAGTCTTTGTCTTACGAGAGTACTCCATCAAATTAAACATCGCTAGCAATACAAAGGCTCGTTGGATAGAGCAGCTCAGCGGCTGACGCATGCGAAGACAAAAGACAAAATTACAACACCGGTACTACATGAAGCAGGCGCGAGGTGGGTGGGCGACGAAGCTATGCTACAGGGCGTCCAAAGTGTTCATCGTACTGGTAACCGAACGTGGGCCGTGGAAGGAGTGGCTGGGGGGCCGCTGCAAGCGACTGTCAGGGGTCATGGGGAGACTGTCGTGCCGCACCGGCACCAGGCCAGGCGGCCTGCTCAACATCGGCGCGCCATAGCCATCGTCGAGCTCCGACGTTGGCACGTCCTCATTATCGTACACCTGACGCGTTGGTTTCCGCGCGGCGGCTGGCGGGCGCGCCGCGCCGAGCTCGACGTCGGAGACGGTGAGGTCTTCGACGGTGACGGAGATGGAGAACACAGACGAGAGCGAGCCGCTCCTCTTCTTGTGTAGGCCGAGCGCGGTAGGGATGCGCTGCACAAAGCTCGGCATCGACAAGTGGCTGATGCCGCCGCCGCCAGCGCGCGGGGGCTCGGGTGTGCTGTGTGCGCGTCAGCGCGAGACGCCGCGTGAGGGGAACGAAAGGCACTGACCTGGGCAGCTTCTCGCCGACGAAGCGTGGCCGTGCGCAGAGTGCACCGCATTTCCTACGGAGGGCGTTGAATGCCTTGCGGTAGTGTACGCGCGCCTCTTTCGCCATGCCGAAGAACGCGAAGAAAACGAGTGAGGAGCCAATGGCTGTCCCCGGTGCGGTGAGCACCTGGTTGATCGTGCCCTGTCGCGCGCGCCATGAGTCGGCAGGTATTTGTAGGACATTCGAAAAGTCAAAATGCAGGTCCGCGAGGCCGTTCCAGGGGTATAAGTCTTGGGTCGTGACGACTTCGAAAAGGAGAAAGATGGTGAGGGGAAGCAGGAAGAGAACGTCGACGGAGGCGAAGACCATTAGGCGAAAGTAGCGATAGGAGGTAAGGCTGCGATGCTTCTCAGAGACTAGAATGTCGATTTCTTTGCGATGTCTCATGAAGGCAAGGATCGTCATTACTGTCACCGAGACTGAATATGAATGTGCAAAGCGAAGGACTTGGCATAGTGCTCACCGCCGAAACAAGCAGATATGGTGGTAATTATCGTTGGCCAGATACCGTACGTGAATATCCAAACATACGTGAGGGGCGAGTCCTGAGCGCAGCCAACACCTTCGAAGATATCAAAGCGATGCCCCTGGACAAACCAGTCTTTGTAGCATGCAAATTAGCAAACCAAATCGAATCGATGGCATTAATATTGCTCAAGAGCACTTACATGTGCCCATGAATATTGCAGGAATGCCGAGGCCGATGCTTAGGTCTATGATTCCCATCCTGCGCTTCTGTAACCGGTGCCTGCTACTCAGTTTCGTCCTCGTATTCCGCCACAGATTGAAAGACGCACATCTGCGGCAGTAGTATGCGTCACAGAAAGCTTAGTCAGCTTATACAGCCGATGGTTGATGAGAGCGGATGCAATCGTCGTGCCAATAGGCTGCGCTTGCATGAAACGCGTGACTACGATTAATATATGCTCAGATCACGTTCGCATTGCTAACATGGCTCGACATACCGATATCACACCATACCGGGGCACAGTCAATCGTATTGTCGTGCCATATTATACCGTTGACAAAATAGATGAGGCAGCCGGTGCCCGACCAAAAGACCCACAGCACAGCACCCATGTTCCATGCTAGGTTTTCGTTAGAGATAGGTTAGCGTCAACACTCCGCAACTAGCAAAGAACGATCGCTTACCTTCGAGATGCCAGTACAGTGGAATGTACGACAGGATGAAGCCCAGTCCACAGAATGCTGTATAGATCGCCTGTTGGACAGACCACGGAAGACCCATCTCGTCTGAAGCAGCTGCAAATGAATATTGGGAGAGCCTGGTTGCTGGTGAAGGAGCGACGAATGCGAAGAACGCGACAGAAGTGGTGCGCCTGCGCGGAGAGGGTGTGTTGCAAAGGGCCGCGCATGAATACAAGATTCGCCGCCCCGCTATATACGCATACTTCTCAACCTGCTGTCTCTACGAGCAGTCATGATGATTCCTTCATCTGGCGTGCATTGTCTGGACGGAAAGCGACGCGTCGAAGCACCGTCCTGTCGAAACGTATTTCAGGTTCGTCGCAACCGGGGCGAGGCCGCTCGTTTGGGAATGCAGACAGTTACAAAATGTGATGCGCCCTTGTGTCTCTTGTTCTCTGGGCGGTAGATAGGCTACTTCTCGTTACACATTGGGCAAAGAGTGACATGGTCAAGACAAGAGATGCCAATCTCAGCCGGCGCGCGACGAACCATGACTGTGGGAAATGCAGAGTTTGTCAGAGACGCCCAACGCTTGTACTCCTTTGAGGTAAAGCTTAAGGTTTAACTGCTGTGACAAAGACAGTCGATATTTGGAGGGCTCTATCTATTCTGCTTTGGTGTATGCGGATATAGGTGGGCAGCCAACGCCTCCGATCCAACCCTTATATTGCATAGTGATCTTGCATGCCACTTTGTGTGCTTTTACTGCACTTCCGTCATCCCCTTCTTTGATCTTTAGGCTTACTAGTAGGTCTAGCATGTTGAACTTCAAAACTACGATAAATCCAATGTTGTTGATGTCTGCGCTTGAGGTTGCGCTAGAAACTGAGATTGGTGAGCAACAAAATCCAATCTCAGTATTATCAACTTATGCTTACCGCGCTAATTCAAAGCCTGTTGAACCACTCAAGGCTGTGCTTCGTACTAAAACTCGCGATGGGGCTCATCCATCACGAGCTCTGGATCTTTCTGAACGAGATACCGCCAACTAAGCTCTGTCTAGCGCTCTCCGCTTCTCTCCTCTGCCGTGGTACCCGCCGGCATCGAGCGTGACAGCTCGATATGTCCCGGCGCAAGACCCTTGCATATCAGTACTTTGCCCACCGAATACACTGCTAATCCCCGTTTATCCAGATTTCAGCCGCGGAAAGCTTCCACCCATTGCTTGCTTCATCCTCGGGGCGGTCTTCGGAAAGCATGCACCACCCTTTGATGCGTACGAAGAACGAGGTAGTCCTTCTAGGTATGCAGAAGCTGTGATTGTAAGATATGCTTTAGCTATCGCAACGAGATATTCTTCTCTTTTTTCCGCCTCTGTCGCAGGTATCTGTCCCATCCTTGCATTGCACACTTAGGCTTTGCTGGCATCTGCCGAATCGCAGGATATAATAGGTCCAGTACAGCCATAGTAAAACCACGACATTGCAGAACGAGCCCTACTCGAGACATGCATTTTGCAGCGCTTGCTATCCTCTCGTCCTTGGTAGCCTCTGCTGCGGCTCACACCCGCGTCTGGGGTGTGTGGGTAAACGGTGTCGACCAAGGCGACGGCAGGGACATCTACATCAGGTCTCCGCCGACCAACGATCCTGTCGTAAACTTGACAGACCCTGCGATGGCTTGCAACGTTGACAACCGAGGTAAGCATCTTCTTCTGCAATGGATGTAATTAGCGCGTTTTAACACCTGTCAGTCGTCCCGCAGTGGGTATCTGTGAAGTCTAATGATTCGCTTACTTTCGAGTGGTATCACAATACGTATGTCGATTTCGATTCGATTCTGTCCGAAAGCTGACTTGATGCCTTCAGCCGCGACGACGATATCATTGCTAGGCAAGTTCGCTGTGCTCGCAATGGGCCGATATGCTTACACAATTTCTTTTCTACTCGACGCCTAGCTCTCACCACGTGCGTGCATTCACTCGCAATCCTTGTTGCATGCTAGACTCATGGTTATGCAGGGCCCGATCGCGGTGTATGTTGCCCCCGCAGCCTCCAACGGCAGTGGTCCCGTTTGGGTGAAGATCTTCGACGACACGTACACCACCAGCTGGGCCGTCGACCGGCTCATCACCGCGCACGGTCAGCACACGGTCATCGTGCCGGACATCCCAGCAGGCGACTACCTCTTCCGCGGTGCGGTTCCTTTCATTCTACGCGGATTAATATGCTGAGAACGGCACAGCCGAGATCAACGCTCTCCACCAGGCCGACGTGCTCTACGACCAGGACCCGCTCCGCGGCGCGGTACGCTTTACCCCTTTCTCCTTCGTTTATTAACGCTGACGGTTCGGGCGCTCCCAGCAATTCTACATTTCGTGTGCGCAGATCACCATCACCCCAGGCGGCGACGAGACGCTGCCCGCGGGAATCGCGCTCCCGGGCGCGTACACGGACAGCACGCCGGGCATCGTGTGGAACCTGTACAACGGCTCTGACCCAACCGAGTACGTTGCACCTGGCCCGCCCGTCTGGACCGATGCGCTTGGCGGGTCAATCGCGCTTGTGGGTATCCCTGTCCTGCCGAACACGACCAGCAGTGCGGGCGTGGCTCCCACGGGGGCTGCTTGAATGGGCTGGGGGCGAGAGAAGTTGTGGGGCAGTTCTTAGAGGTAGCTGAGTAAAGTTTTTGAAGCACTGTACCTCGCCTTTTGTGAATTTTATATCTGGACTATCTGTGTGATGTGCAATGAACAATGTCCATCGTTGTCAATGGAACACTGTTATAATCGAGTGAAGCTACCAAGCGTGTTCTACTATTCTTTCGGAATACCCACCGGTAGCAAGCGCAGCGACTTGACTCGGATACAACTACGTTCTTGACGCAAAGCCCTTGCATAGTAATTGTACTCACAAACTCCAGAGGCCCGGACACAAACCAACCATCGCCTAATTGCCAAACTAGTCCTTTGAAGCCAGCTGGAATGCGTGTAAATCGTATCGAGAGAGACTTACGAGAGCTCATAACACCTGAGGCCTGAGTGGCTAGTATCTCCGCATGTCCTGTGTCCCGATTCGATACTTGATGCCTTACACGGTTGCTCTGTAGTTTGCCCCAACAGCGCCCTTTGTCAGGTATCGCTTGCTTCTCCTCGTGTCGCATGATTATGGTGTGCTCTTTTGCTCATGTCGTAGGTTCGATGATCCATCGCTCCATATCTTCGTATGCAAGCTCTGGGCGGTGCTGTCTGGGCTCAGTAGCTCAGCACTCGGAGAAAACGAGCCTGGGCTGACGCCGGGGTAGCTCTCGGCCGGGATGCCGTAATCAAAAGTGGCAGCTATGGCCCCATATAAGGAAACTGTCAAGAAAGCATGTGCCAAGCCCACGGCATATTGCGAGTCTGGTATTTATCAACGGCGAACGTCTCGCCCCGCCTGTTTCCTACCATCATCTCCCTCGTTCCCGTCGGCGGTCTCGGACCTAGCTACAAGTGTCATCGAGGCCAGCAAAGCCCGGTGTTCGTCTCGGCCTGCCCACCTCCGCGCGGACTCCTGCACATTCGGTCATTGCTCGCCGTCACTCTTTATAAACCCCCAACGTTCATTTTTCAGGGCTCTGCCCCCTTTCTTAACGACAACCGACAGCATGCGCGCAGTGACCTTGGTTTCTACGCTTCTTGCGGTACCCGCCGCTTTCGCTGCGACTGCCTCTGACTGGCAGGGCAGATCGATCTACCAGGTATGCAAACCGTCTTTACCGGAAGCGAATTGTGCTAACTTCGCCATTGTAGTTTATAACTGACAGATTTGCGACCTCGGATGGTTCTAGTCCTCCCTGCGATACGTCCCAGGGGCAGTATTGTGGCGGGACGTGGCAAGGCGCCATCAGCAAGCTTGACTACATCCAAAATATGGGTTTCGATGCTATCTGGATCTCACCGGTGGTGAAAAATCTCGAAGGAAACACCAGCTATGGAGAGGCCTTCCACGGGTAAGTGGCACTCTTGTTGCGGCGAGCACTCTCTGACATTGCGCAGATACTGGACCCAGGATCCGACCCAGCTGAATTCGCACTTTGGTTCGGCCTCAGACCTCAACGCGCTGTCCGATGCCCTACACAAGCGCGGCATGTACCTCATGGTGGACATTGTCATTAACCACCTCGCCGCTCCGACCAATCCGCCCCAGTACACCTCTCTTTACTCTGCGCCGTTCAACACCGAATCATCTTTCCATACAGAGTGTTGGATTAACGCAACCGACTACCCAACCCCGCCTTGGAATCCCGGCAACCAGACACGTGTCGAGCAGTGCTGGCTCGGTGACACGAATGTTCCGCTGGCCGATATCAACACTGAGGACCCGAACCTAGTACAGTTCTGGTACAACTGGGTTGCCAACATGACGAAGACCTACAGTGTCGACGGATACCGTATTGATACAGCCAAACACATCAGGCAGGATTTCTGGACGGAGTTCCAGGCGAGTGCTGGTGTCTGGTGCGTCGGTGAAGTTTTGGCGAACCAGACCGAGTACGTCGGTCCATACACGAGTAAGTTCTCTCAACTGTTTTATTTCGCATCCTTAATGCCGTCCGTAGAGTTTCTGCCTGCGGTTCTGGATTACCCCACGTGGTATCCTCTTGTCAGCGGTTTCATGAACCCGCAAGGCAACCTGTCTGCGCTTGTGGACACGGTTCAACAAACTCAGAGCACGTACGGCAATGGTAGCTATAGCGGAAGCGTTATCGCATCCTTCCTCGAAAATCAGGATCAGCCTCGCTTTGGTGGTCAGACCTCCGACCAGGCAGTAAGCATTCAACATTTGTCATCTTCGAGCACGGGAGATTGACCAGAACGCACTAGCTTATCAAGAACGCCATGGCATGGCCTTTTGTACAGGACGGTATCCCCATCATGTACTACGGTGAGTAGAGGTGCCTTACGTGTATCGCAAAGTGGTTAACGCGTCCGCAGGCCAGGAGCAGGGTTATACTGGTGGAGCTGATCCCGCTAACCGCGAGGCGTAAGTCTCCATTCAATCATTTACAGGGTCGATTAGTTCTGACATTCGTTCAAGTCTCTGGTTGTCTGGCTACGAAACAGACAAGCCTCTGGTCCAGCATGCTCAAGCACTTAACGCTGCCCGCAAGGCCGCCGCATCCGCCAACAGCAACTTCTACAACACGTCCCTCAAGTTTATCGAATCCTCGGCCTCTCAGATTGTAGCCTCGAAGCCGCCTCTGCTCGCCCTTCTTACCAACCAGGGCTCATCGTCCTCGCCCCAGTGGACGGTCAGCTCTGCAGGCTACCAGCCAAACGAGGACCTTGTCGACGTCGTGAGCTGCACGAAGGTTACCGCCGACAGCAACGGCGGCGTTTCGGCTACAGCGCAAGGCGGAAACCCGATGGTGCTCGTCCCCGCCTCGGCGCTCAACAAGAGCGGCAGCGTCTGCCAGAGCCTCGCGACTGGCAGCGGCAATGGCAACAGCACTAGCAGCGGCAATCAGTCGTCCTCGGCGAAGATCAGCGCGGGCCTGCACTGGACGTCGATCATCGCCACTATCGGTGCCGCCGCTTTCATCGCGAAGCTCGTCGCTTAGACGTGGCTGACTTCTTATGTGTACCGTGAGATGGGGAGCTAAAATCTTGTTCGACTATTTTTAGTTTTGTATGGCCTTCGGCCCCCTGTACATTCATTTCCATTTCCCTTCTTTTCGGACGCTTAACGCGTAGTATAGTATGGATAGGGTAGTGTTAATGTTGTAGAAATTGGGATGTGTTCCTTTGAGCAGACCGAGATGCGTTTATCAGACTACGTACAAGTCGAGGTAAATGTCGAAGCTATCTGGTTATTGACAAGGCCTATTGGCGGTTCGTCATGCTGCCTGGTATACACATGCCGAGCATCACTCAACGCGAGAGAACACAGGCTGCCAGCTACCAGTAGAGACATGACGCAGCGCGAGCAAAATGAGCTTGTCGAGGTTGAGGTCATCCAACAACCAGTCCTTGTTTAGAGATGGTTTATTACTCATGTCCTACATCGTGATCAGCTCAAGCAAGGTGCAACGGAAGTTTAGGAAGGCAGGCATACTTTCTTGAATAGCGTGGTGATCTTGGCTACATTATGCGCAAGCTGAGCTAGGTTGATAGGATCTCCCTCGAATGCGTAGTCGAAGACGTCCGCCATCGCTGGCCATGGTGGATATCCTGGCCACTAATCGGCATTTAGAGCCACAGAAGTTAAGCACAAAATATATCACGCACGATGATCCGTACCGTGATCTTCTTCGCCTGCGTGGAGAGGCGCACTTGGTTGCAGCCGTTAGCCAAGCCAAGATCCTAGGGATATAAAGTCCCGCGCGAATCAGAACTTAATTTCGTGTGCGAAGTACTACCTATGGCAGTCTCCCTGTCACCGTATTCGGGTCGCTATCCTTCGTCACAACACTATTGCGGCACACTGGAGGGGCACCCCATCTTCCTCTGACGTGGTTTTGTGAGCTTTCGTATTTATGCAGAAAGTCTGCCGTGCCTGAAATTCTGCGCAGGACGATCTCAGGACCAGCTTGATCCACGCAGGTCAGCATATCAGCGTTGCTCCCAGCGATTGTTTGTGTCTCGTCTAACGCTATTGGACATCGCAGGCCAAGATGATGGCAAGGGATACAGTCATATCGCAATTTCCCTCCGAGACTATCCACGCTATCGTCCTCTGTTTTCTCGACGACTGCCCGGAAAATAAACAGGCGCTATCACGATGCACTCTGACATGTCGATATTGGGATGCGCCCCTCCGACCCTTGCTCTTTGGACATCCTACCCTGTCTTTGCGAGAGGATATTGATACTCTACTCGCGCTTACTATGTCATTTTCACTACCCAAGCCGCCTCTAGCCGACTGTATACACTCGCTGAGCATGACCATCCACCTTCCGGCCACACGAAAACCATGGTGGCACCGTGCATACAAGCTGAACCGACTCCGGCAGGCTGTTGTCATTCGTCTTGTTTTCGTCCGGGACGGTACCTCATGGTACGGCTCCGGTCCTACGCACGGGATCCCCCCGGTCTTCCGGGGACCGTGCCACGGCGGATCGCGTGCAGTCTCGTACAGACTACTTGTGAAAATGGCAAACTTCCACCGTAAACCCTCCTTGGATCATCACACCCCCGAGGACTTTGATAAGTACACACCATTTCTGGGGCTCATTGTACCTCAGCAGGTTTACACTACACCTGGAAGAGCTGTGCGTCTTCCGACAATACGCTTCTTCGACGACGGCAGGAGAGGAGTCAGCTTCTCTCGGGCATTGAACAAGCAGTTGGACTTTCGGGCCCCGCCCTCCAATACCGGTGCAAAGTCATTCGCCATTATCATTGATCATACTATAATTTCCGTGCATGCGACGCAATCGGTTCCGCTGGGCGGAACTAACTAAACTGCGAGAAGTGGACTGGAGATGCGAGCGTCAGGAAGCAAGAGCCATAAGTTGGGGATCTGATGTGTCACCACTGCGAGTCTGCTTGAATCCTGACACGACGCCCAAGCGCCGACTCAGACGCACGTCTCCGTCTATAGCGGAACGAATATATACATATATATACAACACGCAGACCACAAGAGGAATGCGCAAAATGACACATAAGGCGAAACAGTATGTGATACGATGAGTTCAGGTGATTAGGCTGCGCGACAGAAAACCGGCTGCTAGCTAACTGGCTAGCAACGACGACTTAACAGTGGAAACCGCCTTACCGAGATGCGTCGGAGCAGAGATTACAAGGACAGTGCCCGTTTCTTGAGGTATGATGGTGTCGAATACAGAGCTTCCGTTCCACGGTTCGCGACTTCGCACTGCTTGCATTCAATGCGGGGAGTTTTGGAACAAACGCCCTGTTAGGGAACAACCAGACAAAAAACCACTGCATTGAGGCTATTGGAGTGCTGTTTGCCGTGCGTACTCACGATCTTCCTCAGCCGCGAGCTGGTCCGTACCTGTCCAGTTCGCCGGCCTCGTGCGCGCGCCGAAGATCTCCTCCAGTGCGCAGCAGTTCGACAACCTCGAAGATGCCATCGGGTTTGACATAGCTCTGCTGCCAGAGCTTTGCCGCCCGAACCTAGGACGGTACGCCCACTGAGTAGTCGAACCGCGGCCGGCTCTCGTCCTCCGAGCCTAAATACTCGCCGTTGATGTTCAATTGCTCGATGCTTTCGCTTGCAAATGGCGCTACCTGCTTCGATGTCTGTTATGCCACCATCTGTGCCTGGAATTGGTTTGACCGGAGGTAATCATGATAGTGTGGTTCGGCCATAACTGTGTGACACCTGTTTGAAGCGCAACGATCTTTCATACCAATTCTAAGCCTGCCGCTTTCTCGTTCATGCTGCCGCTCGCGCCCTTCGGCTCTCTAGCCATCTGCAGTAGCACCGTCAGACTGTTATTATAACCCGCAGGAGATGCTACGGAGACTTACGATGTCTACTGGTATAGGCTGCTCAGTCCACGTCGGATTATCATCGCCCAGGTAGAACGTCGCGACTATCTCGAAGCCCAGCTCGTGGAAGAAGCCTCGGTTTGCGGTGTTACTCGATAGAAGCCAGCTCTGGACACCTCTCGCATCTCCCTGTGAATTTTGAAGACTTTAGAGGCTGTGCTTCCGTGACAACCAGTATGGCACGAACCAGGTCTGTCGCGAGGCGCACTAGTGTAGAAGCATATCCACGGCCCTGACGCTCCGGAGCTGTCGCGAGGCTGTCGACCTCAATCATTTGTGAGATCTTGTCGCCTAAGACTTCCTTCGCTGTGCTACTAGCCTTACTCATGAACTCATTGAAGCGCTAGCTTCATGTCAAGCTCGATAAGCTGGCAGGACTACAGAGGACAGACCTTCCGTTGCTCCTCGGATCTCGTGAGCTCACGAATACCTCCAGTGAGCCGGACAAAGAGAAAGTTGATGAGCTTGTCTAGAGGGCTTTCTTTACGCGTCGGGTCGCCTCTAGCCAAACGAGATGATCAAGCAACATACACTCAGGGGTATGGTCCAATAATGCACTCACAGATTTACGAGGGACTCGCCGTGATTGATGGTCCAGGCGGTTTTGTCATAGACAATCTTGTAGAAGTGGAGATAGATGGCCGCTTTGCGACCGGCTTTCCAGAGTTTTGTCTTCTTGTGATTGTCCTAGCTCCTTGGTCATTTAATGGCCCTGAAAAGATGAAACTTTGGAAGTATTACGGGAGTGTTGCACATATACCGATCTGATGGGTCGGAGGCAGTGCTCTTCTTTAGAACTTCGTACGCCTTAGGCACGTCCTCTATCACGAGCTGTGTCAGTCCCATGCTTTTGACCTACGCGACGAACGCACTGTACTGCATAAGCTGGGGAGTAACCTCCTCGCGTGGTACCGATGCGCAGAACAGGTTGTTAAGGTCCTTGCTTTCTGTGACACCGTATAGCATTTCTTGTGATACACTGAGCCTACTATAAGGTTAGTGTAGTCTGAAGCAGACGCTTACGGCGTATCCCGCCATCAAATGCGAGGGAACTTCGGGAACTTCCGCTTCTTGAAGCGCATCTTGACATATCAGGAAAGTGCGCCCTCCCAGATCATAAACTAGCAAATCTACGCACTAAGCAACGGGAAAGCACACTCAGATGGTGTAGCCACATTCGAGGGTAGCTCTGGCATTTAAATAAGCGCATGCACAATTTTATAGCTTGCTTTAAGGCTTTCAGCGCATATTTTGTGAAAAATACGGCAAAAGATCAAAATGTACGCTCATATGGCTCTCTGGTTCGGCTGCACATCGTTCCTGACGATATATACATTATTTTCAGTAATACGCTGCACACAAAGAGGAGAAGAAAGGCCGAGATGCCATTGTGCACGGCCTCAGCAAGAGCAGGCTCAGGTTAGGGCTCCTTGGTCCGTTTGGTCGGGTTAAACCAAGCTAAACGCCCCTTGCCACGACGAAGCCGACTGGTCGAACATGAAAACACAGTCATGATAAGCGGATCGCGGAGTGGGGGTATGGTAGTTACAAGGGAAGCAAGGCGTTATGATCCAGTCCAGATGATCATGCCGCACAGCAGAAAACCGGCTGCCAGATGGCCCGGGAGACATTCCGGAGCTCGACGAGATGGAGCTTGTCGAACGGTATGCGGCCCAGTGGCCAGGCCAGATCGCGTGCAGGCTGCGTGCGCGTCATGTCCTGCGGCGGGTATGAGTGTTACAAGCCGGATCGGCAAGAAGCCGCACGCACGTGATAAAACGTCGCGACGAGGATCGCGACCTGCTGCGCGATGTGCTGTTTGCTGAACGCCTCGGCTTGGTTCGTGGGGTCGAAGACGTCAATGGCGTCCTCGGCCGTCCATCGATCATGCCCTGGCCACTGATGCAGTCGTCAACGGCAGAAGCACCCCAGCAAGAAGTGGTGCGGCGTACCTGGATGTACAAGCTCACCTCCGTCGTCGTGGTCGAGAGCATGGGAACCGTATCTGCGTCATGGAGGCCTTGTATGGGTGTCCGCAGCGCGTTCACCAAGAGAACCCCAGGCACACCGTTCGTATGGAAGGCTATGTTCGGCAGGGGCACGAAAGGCGCTTGACCCGAGGCTGGAGTGAACGAAGTTTGGGGGACGATGACGCCCGGGAGATAAGCCTGAACACAAGAGGGATAGTCCGAGAGCGAGTGGTGCCGCTGATCTCCGTGGGCGACGTGCGAGTTGGGTGCATCTTCTGCAGCAGACCCTCTTGACGTTGTGAGCTGGCGCCGCCGGCGTACGGACGATGCAGAGGCTCCTCCAGATCTCGGGTCCTGAGGACGCACTGGGCCTTGAGGGCGAACTTGACCTTCAGAACGAGGACGAGTTGCGGATTGAGAAAAACTTTCGTCCCGGTGCGCGGACTGTCTTCCGAGTGCGAGCCCGATTGAGAAAACTAGCACCAGCGCCCTGTTCCACCAAGCCTCGTCAAAGCTGCGCGCACGGTACCGGGCACCCTACTCACCAAGTTCCCGGTGCAAATACGGCTGGCATCCTGTCAAACCCTTCGGAGCGCAGAGCGTAGAATGGAGAGCGGTACAGCACAAAAGCGTTGGACACTCGGGTGGTGGTGTGCACGAGAGTGATGGATGCATGGAAGTTTGTGAGTCACGCAAGGCACGAGACAAACGCGTGGGTAGAGAAGCCACGAGGGCGGGACTTTCCGTTATGGACAATCTTTTGACACGATACTGTATTGTACATACACCCTGAGGGACCAACTATCGGGCGGACGATCATCAGTAAGTTGCTCAGCAGAACTCACTGGAGCAGCGGGAACTTACAAGACAACTCTGAGGCCAACTTGTCCATGGGATAAACCTCTACGTGGAGAGCCCTGTACTCCAAAAGATGCTCCAAAATTCCACACATCCCAACATAGAACATGCGATCTGAAGATGAGATACGCTGAGGATTGGCCCGGCAGCGAGTGAACATACGGTCGGCGTGTCGTGTCAAAGCGAGTGGGGGCTGGGGTTGGCGTCTAATGAAGCGCCACAATGCTTGCCAAATTGGACGCAAAGCGCTTAAAGTCACGTGGTCATTTCCAGGTGAACCCTGCTGAGATCCGCATCGCCAAACAACAGCCCATGGCCACCCACTACACCCTGTCGACGCGACACCGGGGGCATCGTTAGTCTCACCTGGAAGCTGGACAAGGAAACGGCTGAGAGAACGCCTGACTGAGGGCGGCGAGGAGGGCGGCGCGACATGTTCACCTGGTGGCGGGAAGTTGGGTCTGGCACAGGTGTGTGACGAGAGTGAACAAAGCACTCATGGAAATGGCTGAATGTCATGTCCTTGAACTGCAAAGCACCGTCGACGTGCGACCAATACAAAGGCGGCTGCTCTTCCGCGATGCCACGGCCCCCAACCTGATCGAGCGGTCCTGCACCCACCAGTACTGACGCACCTGGGCTATGAAGTCGAAACTTGCGATGGCGTATGCTTATTTTGGGAGCATCTGGGAGTACAGAATGCGTCAGGGAAGCGAATATATTCTTTGCAAACATCAAAATCGTTGGTAGCACGGCGTACCTACGACCCTGCCAGTGCTGGATCAAAACTCCTCGCCTCCACCGGCTCTTGTCCGAGAGTGAGCCTTTTAGCGTTTTTAGTTTGAAGCTCAGACTGACTGGCCCATGCGGTCACTGTCTCTGCTCCGTGTCAACCTGGCACAGCATGTCGTGCTCTCACCAAGCGAGTGAAGACCGGACTCGGACATGGGAATGGAGCTGCAGGGACATAACCCGCGGGCAGGGTTAGCGCGTACAACGAAGAGCTACGCTGTCCTACCGCACGTCTCCGCCTTGCGTGGCCGTCGGGGCATTGTGTCTCGACCATCCCTGGCCGCGTGCGCGAATAGAGGTCCTATTTGTCGTGGACCCCCGGGATGCAATGTCCACGGAGGCTTTTGGAGAGGTCCGTGGCACACAGCACATTTGCATTATCGGCATGCTGTCATCAACGAGGGTGAGTAACGTTGCCAGACAACCCAGTGGAGTCAGATTTCGGTGATACAATGTTCACATCCCCCTAGTAGGAATCTTCGGACATATGATCATGCCGCCTTCCTTGAGAACCTCGAAGCACCGGACGTTTGCTATCTAGAGACTGTCAGGAAAGGGTCCTCTATTCAGCCCGTGGACGTCTGCAGAAATAGTCTAACGAGCTCGGTGGGTGATCGCAACAACTGCCTTTGGTAATGCTTTACGAGCTGACCAGCATCCGGAAATGTGATAGGTACATATAGCAGTGTTATATCTTCATTTCGTCAATCGTCTATGACTGTCAACGGCGGACCACTGTCATACGCCTAGCTTATTCCCGCCCTCTCACCTGTCTTACGGTCGCAATATGACCATACTCGACGATGCTTCTCCGGAGATCCAAGGCGAGTGGAGCTTTCGAAAGAAGGCTCCTTGTCTGGACCGCCCATGTCCTCTGCTGCGGTGTGTCCATGATCAGCGCGGCAGAGGCAGGCCGTTCTCAGGGTCCCTTCCGCCGCGGCGGCCTGCGTGCAGGCCTCGCGGAAGTCGCCCGGCGCATCGTGCTGATCAAAGATCACGAGATGTGGGCACCGCCCTATATAATGGTCTGACAGCCGGAATGCTGCGCCCCCCTTCCAGCCTCGCCGTTCTCAACAGACCCTTTCCGTGCATTGCATCAGCAGTGCGCGGGTCTCGCGACCGCACACGAATCGCAGGCCCCGTGCGCGATGCCAGCCCACCTTCTTTTCTTTTTTCTGCACGAGCGATATTTCTGCGCGGCGTGGAGAAGGACGCGAATTAGTCCTTTTGCGGTGCCCCAGCTGCGAAACCGCGCTGGCCCGTGCGCATATGGTGGGTGGGTGGGGGCGAGCGCCACCTGGCCGTCCCCGGGTCTCGTCATCCGATGCGGGCTCAACGATTCGCCGTGCCCTTGTTCGAAACGTTTTTGCGCTCGCGTTTGTCACTCGGAGGGGAGCCTGCAGGTGTGTGCAACCGGCGGAATCCCACGCTGCTGAGGTCTGTGTGTCCCAGGCCGCGGGGCCCAGCCCACGGCATGTGCGATGTGCGCACGATTCGTGACAGGCACTTGTGCCAAGTCGAGGATCGCGCTTCAGGACAGCACAGAGGTAGGAGGGTGGGGACGTCGCGGGCGCCCCCCCTGCTTGCGGGCTGCGGCGCATCAGGTCAGCAGATAGACAATCAGTGATCTGCCGGGGAGATGCCGCACGACGCTCGCTTGCCGTCACTCGTCGCATCCGCGGGGCCCTTCGAACGCGGCGTGCGCACCTTCGGGCATCGAAGCACGGCTTGCGCGCGCCCTTCCCGTACGAAGTGTGCGCGAAGCCCCAGAATGCGCCCCCGGGCCGAGGGGCATCTATCAAGCTAGGGTCCGGTGCAGCTACTGATAGAAGATCCAAAAAAACGGCCGCAGGTGCCGATAAGGCTACTGCACCCCGGCGTGGCGGGTCCCTGCCATTTTACGAAGCGTATACCCCCCGAGATCGTAAGAGAACAAAGGCCGCACCCAGACCGTGTGACATGGTGGCGGCGCCTGCGCTGAAGCTACCGGATCGTCGTAACGCGAAGGGTTCCCCTTGTCACGTCAGGCCCCAGAGATTATCCGGATGGTGTGACAATGCATACAGTTTTTTCTATTAGACAAGAGTGTGCTTGTTTCGATATGAGTTTACGCCTACAACGACAGCCAGAGACCAGAGAGGATGCAATGCTGAGCCAGGACATGCGAGATACAGTAGGGTATATGCTAAAAGAGTCAGGCGAGGAGAGATAAGAGCGCACTTCAGCCAGTGAGAGCGGAGAGAAGACAGCTTTTGGAGCGAACAGAAGCGAGTCCAAGTGTCAGTTGCGTGCGGTGCGGTGCGACGGACGGAGGGGTGCGCCACCGGGCGACGCTATTGGAGAGAAATATAAGGCTCGAAGAGTGAGTCACATGGCGCGGCGAGCATCTCGTGGAGCGCCGCGTTGGGCGCATATCCCCAAGCGTCGACTTGCGTGCCAGGGTAGCCGTCCTCGAGGTTGTACATCAACGGCGGGGTGTGGGTGTCAGCATACATGTTCCCGCCCATGAAAGGCTTGACGTCGACGTCATCGAGGGAGCGGGCGCGGTAGTTGGGCTGTTGGCGCCGTCAGCTGGGGGCAATTTAGCCTAGAAGGGGAGGGCGCGCGGACGTACCGAAGACTCCCGCGAGAGCGACGACGTCACGTCCGTCTCGGAGTCGCCGCAGCTGGAGCGGGGAGACAGAGGCGGCGTCGAGGACGCGGCGTTCACAAAGTGGTAGTACACCGACAGCAGCGGCGGCGGCTGCGCGTGGTGCACCAGCGGCATGCGGACGACCTCCTGGTGGATCATGTACGACGCCGGCTCTGTTGGGCCAATGGCATCAGCTTCCGTCTCTCGGAATTGGTCGAGCAGGACGCTACGCACCCTCAGAGTCGCACAGGTGCTGCCAGAACGTCGGGGCGAGAGAGGTGGTGTACAGCCAGGACGGCGCCGCGCCCGGCGCAGGGGCAGCGGAGCGGATGGACACCATCGCGACCTCCTGGTGCACGATCTGGCCGTCGCGAAAGACGGTGAAGATCGCCTGGCAAGGAGTCTGGCTCATCGAGTTGAATGTCACGGTCGGGTCGATCATGCGCAGCGGACGCGGGTGCGGTGAGTAGATGTCGCTCATGGTGGACGGGCACCCGCCAAAGTTGTGCATGTGCCACGCCGCACTTGCAGGCAGCGACTGGATGTAGACGTGGCTGGGCGTGGTGGTTTGCACCAACGACGGATAGTGGCGGGGCCGCGACGAAGACGGCTGCGACAACTTTTCGGACGACGTCAATGCCCTCTTGGGGTGCATCATCTCGTAGTGGCGGTCGGAGATGACCTTCAGGACTGTGCTGCGTCAGCAACACGCCTCAGGAGATGAACCTTGGCACTTACTCTCTTTGCCCGTTTGGGTGTCGCGCAGCTGCTGGATGCGGCTGCCGACCTGCTTCGGTGTCCGCTTGATGCCCGTCTTCTCGAGGATGTGGTCCGCAACGAACTTGTTGCGCATGGGGAAGCGCCCCAGCGTGCGCGTCGACTTGGACTCGGACGGCCTGTACTTCTCGAGCCCTGAGCGGTGGCGGTGGTGAGTATGGAGCGCCCGAGAATTGCCGGCGCAATCGGCATACCTTCGATGAGTGCCGCTTCGAGATGTGGCGGCCAGACCGGCTCCTCTTTGCCTTTGAGGCTTCTCCAGCACTTGCGCGAGTTGAGGATCGACTTGACGGCCGCGTCGGTCCCGGTGATGGGCGCATCAGAGAGCTCGTCGGTCGACGGCGACGACGAGCGAGCCTTGTCGTAGAACGCAGCGGTGGAAGACGAAGCCTTCGGCATTGGTCGTGTGCTGAGAGGTGGACAGAGCATTGGCAGAAGCGGGAGGTGGTGGCATCGGGTGCTGACTATATATACAAAATGTCAAGGAGAGGCCGGAGCGCGCTTCGTGTTGAGCCACGTTCATAGGCGGCAGGGCAAGATTCCCGGCGTGAAGGATGGACAGTGGGCTGGGTCAAGGTGCCCGTGCGATTTGATGGCGAGAGACTTTCTGGAAGATAGCGAAAAGGGATAGACTCAGGAGGGACAAGCGTGAGAGCAGTTTGTCAAGGTACAGCCCTCCGGGGATAGAAGCGCTTGCTGGAACCCAATGCGTACGTACATCGCGGCTGGGACGCGTCCCTTGTTTTCGAACATATTTGGAGATCGAGCTGGTTCTCGGTGCTGTTCCGTACGCGGTCCTCACGTACAGCCGACATGACTGATGACGATTCCGCGGTGAACCTTAAGCTGGCTTGCCTCGTTCAGTCCCTTCGTCTCGTTTGAGTTCGTCCAAAAGCCGCACGACGGTCCGAGCCACGATAACGGCGGTTCCCAGGCCACCGTTCGCGTCCTACAATTAGAGAGTGGGGCGGGGTTCTGCTCGGCGGGCGCACAATGCCAGCCGCCGACCACCGCCAGGTCGCGAAAGGGTCATGCATCGGTTTGGCCGCGTTTGCCATTTGCGAGGCAAGGGTCCTCGGAGGTATGCGGAAGGGGTCGAAGGGAGCTTGACCATGTAAGGGCGTGATTAAATTCTGTGGATGTGGATAAAATAATGATACCGTAGGTTCAGACGGGTCGTGTCCGACGAAACTAGGTTCGGGAGGCGACTCGCGTCTGTCGTGATGCAAGACATTGGACGGGCTGCGGGGGCGGGGCGGGCTGGCGTGGAAGGTCGGAGGCAAGGAAAGACCTAGAGGATCAAGTGCTGGGCTTCGATGGTCCCTGTTCCCCGCTGCCCAATCAGCTCCCGACGCTTGCCCGGTGAATTGATCTCAGCGAATTCGGCATTTCCCGCCGTGGCAAATCATCCTTTTATGGCAACACCCGCCTGCGTCCTGCTCGACAGCACGCACCACGTCCCCTCCACGCCTCCCAAACGCGCCTCCTGCACCGCCCAGCTCGTCGATCTCGCTTGCGGCCTTGTCTGCGAGTTTGTCTCGCGCTAGTCTCCATCGATGACACCGCTGCCCCGGCGAACGCGGGACAGGCCCATCAGCTGACGGCCCGGATCGTCAGCACGCACAAGACCCCATGCGCTCGGTCGTGTAACGGTACCGACAGTTGTGCATCTGTGCCTATCGCGGATTCAATCTGGGCCTAGGCAGTCTGATCTAGCTCGTCTCACGATATAGGTCCCTGTGTGTCGCCGGACGCTGCCCGTCGCCACTCGTCGCGTTGGTCGCGGAGACCTTCGTTGCCCCACCGCTGTCGATATTGCAAGGTTCACCATGTGTTCAGTGGTCTCAGGAAATGCCCGTCCATGGCTGTAACTTGCGACACCACATCATCCCGAAGGCTGTGTGACCTTTCACGTCGCCAAGATATCACCAGCGTCGGCCGTGATACACGGAGCACAGGCCTTGCCACCTCTGTGGCGTGTATGAACGTCTGCGAAGGTGTGGGGGCACTGTCCAACAAGGGTCCTGCGTCGGTACACTCAACTTACGTGCCACCGCCACGATAAGTCGGCGTGCATTCCGTGCATGCGTGTCACGACTCAAGATGTCCTTGACGTCTTGCGCGCAGGCACCATGGACACTGCCGTCTAGGTTAAATGTTGATTCAGACACGGTTCCTGGAAAAAGACGATCAGGGTAATCTCAGCAACCGTCGGGCTTGGGGCAACTGCGTCTGGGGGTGGCTATGTACCATATCATCCATGTCATTGGGCGCCATTCTGGCGTTGTGCTATAATACAACAACTTGCGGTGCGTCTCCACTCGCAATGCCTGCCGCCACGCAAACCTATGCGACGTGAGAGATGTCTGAAAGATTGTGAGTCAATATCCCAGCGCGCTCCGCTGACGCATCTACAGGCTGATGATGCGGGTGCCAAGCTCAGCGATGCCGAAAGGGAAGTCGCGGCCTGGACAAGACATGAACATCAACGTCGTGGGTATCTCGAGTCGGTGTGCGAGCGCAGCGACGTTCGAAGGCGTGAAGGTCTCTCGGACCAAGATCTGGGGATTCGATCGCAGCGAAAAGAACGTCAGGGTCAGCGTGATGCCGTGACGCACTAGGCAAGTATTAAACTCACCAGGTCGACGGTAATCTCTGGGAACGCTTCGTCGAGGACTGCGCGCCAGAACGCATACGGTGAGTGCTGTCGCGCGCGCTGCGTGCCATCGGACGCTGACTCACTCTTCCAGTTGGCTTCCATCTCCGAGGGTACGCCGATCTCGTCGTCGTAGAAATGGACGAGCTTCAAGCATGAGGTCTCCTCGTTCTGACTGACATAGAGAAGCGAGTGGATGAGAACGTTGATCTGGAAGCGATAAGATTAGGGTTGCTGGAAAGGGTCCAAGGAAACACACCTCATCCGTCTTCACGAGGACACACACGGGCTGCTTCCGGAGATGGCTCACGGCCGCGGCCAGGTTCTCGCCGCACGTCCGCGTCCAGGCATGCCGCGTCAGGACACGGTACTGATCGTACGCCCACAGCAGGCCGTGCAGCACGCGGACCTTTTTCATCGTGAGCTGGAACGCCGCGGCGAGCGCGAGGAAGTACGCCGCAGCATAGCTAGGGCCGGCGGTTCAGCACCTTGTGCGGGCACAGCTGCCGCGTCTGGCACGCACCCGACGATGGAGGGGTCGACGGCGATATTGCCGCCGATGATCGCGGCCGCGACCGCGAGGGTGAGCGGCGCGAGGAAGAGCGGCGTCCGGGGCGTCCTCGTCAGGCGGCCGCGGCTGAACTTCAACAGCAGGACCGAAAGGGGAAACAGGGCCATGACTGTCAGCCAGACGAGCGAGAACCTAGAAAGGAACGAAACGGGTGAATTGAGCGGCGGAGCCGATGGCCACCACCGACGCACATCTTTGACATGACATCCAGGCGCGCGCCCGACGAGGCGTACAGCACGCAGCTGAACGCGACGAAGGCGGCGACGGAGCACGCCGGCGAGCCAGTGCCTGGCAGCCGGAAGGTGAAGAGGCGGGGCAAGAAGCGGTCGCGCGCAAGGCGCTCGAACAGTTCACATGCGCCAAGGATGCCTGGGCCGCCCACTTAGTGGGCATTACTTAGAATGGTTAGATGAGCAGACACAGACCTGTGAGCACCCCGCCGCAGAGAACAATCACCGCGTCTACGACGACCCATGTGCGGAGCCACTTGCCCGCGACCTGCGGGGCCAATGATCAGAACAGGGTACATTCGAAGGCGGTGTGTGAGGGGGGCGTACTGTTTGCGCAAGCACACTGAGTATGTTTCCCTGGCCGACAATAGTGCCCAGTGGCACGTGTGCCAGAACAAAGAGCATGGCTAAAGAATTGAGGAGTAATGCCGGGTAATGCAAGTTCCGGAGAACCTGTGGAAACTTGCCAGGCTTGATGCTGGAGACGTACGAGGGCACGCCTGGAAGGCTGCTCCGTCAGAAAGCGGCAGCGAACATGGTAACGTCTTTAGGCCGCTCACATTCGAAGCCTGTCAGTCCAAGAACACCTAGGCAGATGCCGTCGAAGATTGCTCGGGCGGTCGTGGCGGCAGTGAGGTCCTCGGTGCCATGGACCCAGTTCGTGCGGATCTGCGTATTGCCCCGCTGGCACCACGCAACCACCGACGCGATGAGTAAAACAATCATTGCCACAACCTCACGGAAAGGGTTTCGTCAGCCGAGATGACCGAGCAGCGATATTTCAAAAGGAACTTGCGTGGTGCATCATAATCGCGAATGCCATCTTCGCACTGTCGCGCAGGCCGCTCAGATAAAACAAGGCAAACAACAAGATGACCAAGATGGAGCCAACCACCATCGAGAATGGCAGTGTGACTTCACCGCCGAGGTATGACATTGCAGTCGCCGCTGAGACAACCGCGGTGGCAGAGAAGTCCAGGAGTAAAAGGGCGGCCCCGATTAGGGCCAGGGTCTTCGACGAGACGTTGAGCCTGGAGGGGCGGTGCGTGAGAAATGGGCATGTGCACAGCGAGAAAGGGACCGACAGGTATGTGTAAGGGGCTCCGCTAATTGGTAATGCCGACGCGAGTTCTTCCATAATGGGGCGCCACAAAAACAGAACGCAGCCGGCCGCGGAGAGGGAGATGGGCGAGCTGTGATCCGCGTTAATGTCCACGGCGGACGGCGGACAGGCGTGCGCAAGATACTTACTAGACCCCAGAAACTGACGCGACGGCTGGCAGAGCATAAAAGACGCTGCCGAGCACCGCATTTCCGGCGATTGCACTCGCGGTGAATTGGCCCAGGGACGCAGCCCCCCGCGCCCGCTGCACGTCCTCCTCGCCGCGTGTTAGCTCGTCGCGCCCTAGCTCCAAGCGGGACATCGTTCCCCAGCCGGAAAACTCGAAGGGGCTCGGGAGATTTATGAAGCGCGACGGTGCCGCAGAGCATTTCACACCGCCTCCTGTGCTTGGACGTTGACGTTGCCTGCGGAGCACAATATCATACTGCGCTGACTCGAACGACGGAGGGTGCGAATCTAGCGGACCGCTGCTTTCTGCTGTGAATTGCTCTGGTGAGTCATGTTGGTGTAATAAAGGGATGACTCACGTTCCGGTGCACCTCTTGCAGGAAGCGGAGGCTCGACTGCGATCCAGGTATGCTCTAATGACTGCATGGGGTACGAGTCCGTATCAGGCTCCTCCCCAGGCAGTGATAGCTCTCGCTTGGAGACAGACATCATGCACTCTGTCTTTTTAGCCGGTGGATGAAGACAAAGTGCGTGTTTGTTTTGATTGTTCTTCGGACCACCTTGACATGAAAATTGACAGCAGTTCTGCGGGCGACTACGTGTCCTCCCAACAGGCGCCGCCTCAAGGGTATTTGGAGATTTTTAAAGTCGCCGCTACCGCGTCTGGCTTCCGCTACTGGGGGCAGAGGCAAGCGAACTTGTCCGATGGACAGGGGAGGACAGCCCTCGAACGGGAGGGTTTGATGCATGTGTATGATCGGCATGTAGAAGCGCCTCATAGACGCCAAATCTTGATGCGCCGTCCTCCTCGCGATCCGTTTATGTAAGCGCGACAACTCCGTATGGAGCATTTAGTACACCAGAAATTAACACAATATTTTTCTGCTTGGATGCTGCTACTGCTCGAAGGGCTTCAGATTGCTCAGTCGGCTGAAGTGCCCGGAGTCCCTAGCTAAACAGCACCGGCTCCGGGGTCCCGCTTACTCAACTGGCGTTACTGTATGACCCGTGATCGCAGTACAGTTTAGCGCTTCGATTCTTTGATTGGTTCACCTCCACCACACTGACACAACAAGGCGTTCTTGCATGCAAGACACCTTTGCCGCATTCATTTGCAATGCTAACAAAGACGTAAAGGTACTTGATGAAACTTGACTGCAAATAGATCGCCGAGTTTTTCCTGAGTCAACTCGTTGCTGTGCCTCTGGGATCCGCACGTATTGTACTAAGTTGTACTTTGAGAATCCGGGTCAGGGTAAATGTGATATCTTGGGCATAGATAAAGCCACCGCCGTCGCCCCATGCTTTGCTCTTCACGTCCTGACGCATCGCGTTGGCCACTGGTTAGGGGTAAATGCTAGATGGTGCGTCCTGCTTCCAACGCGCCTTCATTTTACGGAATAATGCATCTCTCAGGACGACGACGCGCCTTACGCATGGTTCGGTCACGTATTTTCGGTCGCGAAGTCCATATACGCAACATTCAAGACAGCCATGCAGCTTGATACTAGCTACCGATCCTCAGAAAGCACTGATGAAGAGGACACTATCGACAGCCCCGGATGCTCCGTGGGCCCTGACTTAGATGACAAGGTAGCAAGTATGGACGTAGATAGAGACACTCCTGCAGATGAGTCTGACCAAGAAGTTAACGAGCTCACCGTACTCTTCTCTCCTCTTTCTCTCACAAGCAGCCCAACACCTGACGTATCCAGAGACCCTGTGCTCCCTCAAGAGCAAAGGTCGCTGTATCCGATCATCATGGACCCATCACCCGACGAACTGGATGTCCCTGATGCCCTCTCATTCTCCACTAGACCCCGTAGCACTCGACCTGATCCCTCTCATGCTTCGCCTTCCGCGCCTCTAGACGTTTTTCGACAGGCTCAAAATCCAGGACTACGTTTAAGCCCGGCCCGTTCGCCAGCAAGCGGACCTATCTCGCCCAGCGACGTGGCATCGCCCCGTCGTGCTATTATAGCGAATGCGAAATCTCTTCCGTTGTCGAATAAACGCCCTCAAGCAAAGTCTCCGGCTACTCATAGACGTCCACGGCATTCAGACCCGATATCAGCTCCTTTGCCCACGCTAGAATTCAGTGGAGTCCGCTCGAGTAGCGCTGTAGAAGGCGGCGGCCTCGTGAATCCACACCAGGGGAAACGAAGCGAGGCGCGTTTTGTTGGCACGCTGAAAACCTGGCAGGCCGTAGACGTCGAGCGAGTCCTCAAGCGAGAGGAGGATGCTCTTCAGCCAGCTCTGCCTGGACGCTCGTCGGCCTCGAATGGCACCCTTCTTGTGTAGGATAGTGGGTAGGCATCTCGATATTATACGTGAAAGTGCTTAAATCATTGAGTGTGCAGGATGGGCAAGACCGTGGTCACTATCTCGCTCATTCGTTTAACCACAAACAGCCATGAGCCCACCTTGTAAGATTCTGCGTCGCTAAAGTGATCATAGCTGACCAGCGCCACGGGACATTAAGAATCATATGCCCGAATGTCGAGATTGCTCATCAATGGCATCGAGAAATAAAGAGCTTCTCCCGAGGATTATCGGTACTCTTCTACCACTCTGAGGATCCGAATTCCGCAGAGTATAAAAGAGGTCAGCACATCGTCATATGACCATCTGCCAACGACGCAGTTTACCCAGCGATTGTAGACCCGGGAGACATCAGGAGCTACAACGTAGTCGTAAGCAACCTCGTTCATAAAAATTCAGGCTCAGCAGGTCAACTTCTCTAGCTCGCAATATACTCTCAAATTTTACAGCAGCACCTATACATGACGAAAGCGCGGGACGAGAAGCCTGGAAAGGGCCTCAACGAGAATCAATTCCCGTTCTACCTCATTCGGTGGGGCCGTGTCGTTACAGATGAGTCCCACACACTGCGCAACCCGCAGGGTAAGAAGGCCACGGCGTACTGCGCGCTTAGGAAACGTGCGGGTCTTGCGCTGACGGCGACCCCCGTCCAGAACTACCCGTGCGACTTGTACGCGCAACTCAAGTTCTTAGGCCGAGACTACAAGAACCTTGTTAAAATGAAAGACTTTCACGAGGTGTGTCAGCGGGAATACCAGGCGCAGGGATCTAGAGTCAGTTTCAACAGTCTCAAGGTATGGCTACCTTCAAGATCCACTTTGGCTCTCCTTGATTGTAGATTTATTCGCAGGATGTACTCTTAGAGTGCGTGATCCACAGACCCAAGATCTCGAGCAGCGGTAAGCCGTGCCTCAGCCTGCCTGGCCGTCAAGACCACGAGCTACACCGTATTAACCTCTCCGACGGAGAGGAGGAGTTCTATCGCTATGTTCTGGAGAAGCACCGGCATAATGGCGCCCTTGCGGAGCTGATTAGGCTGCAACAGGGTGCATTCCCTAGCTTCATAATATCCTAGCTCTTTCTGATCGGTGCGCTGCGGTGTGTGTCGACCCGAGGCTGATGCTCGAGAAGTTGCCGCCTGACGAGGGAGAGCTCGCGGAGGGAGCCCAGGACGAGGACGTGGAGCGCATCGCAGCAGAGTAAGCAATCGTTATGTTTAAACGTTGGATTTGCTGCTGAAAAGCTCCTCCCAGGGTCTCCCGGATTGGTCGTCTTCCTACTGATGCCCGAGGACAAGACGCAGCATCGGATGTACTCGTCGCTGGAGAGCTGCCTCTGTCGATTAAGCACCTCGCTTATCTCTTCGATGAGAGCTATATCCCGACGACCATCCAGACGGTGCTGGACATACTCGAGAAGATCAGCGTCCGCTCCGGCGGGGCGGACAAGACGATCATTTACGTGCGTGTCTTCGTATTGTGCGCTTAGCTCTCGTGCTCATAGTCACCAGTCTACTTTCGGGGCCCGCTCAAGACGTTGAGCGCTCATCTGACCTCCATAGGTGTCGGGAACGCCGTCTGTGCGCCGCCATCTTCTTTATTGCTGGATTACACGCTGACAATGTGATGATGGAACAGACCATGGGGACACAAAGCCACAGGAGCGCACGGCGGCTCTGCACTGCGCCGCCACGGATGACAGCTGCAGGGTTCTGCTCATGACCATCCAGAGTGGCGGGACCGGCCTAAACATTACGGCGTGCAACAACGTCGTATTTCTTGAGCCGTGGTGGAATCCGTACCTCGAGGTAAGTACGCGTGCTGCTGTGTCTCCTGCCTCGCAGGCGAAGCTCACTGTTTATCCTAGGAACAAGCTGTCGGGCGCGTCTACCGCATAGGCCAAGAGAAAGAGGTCCACGTCTATCGTGTCACCGTTGAGGACACTGTCCAGATGGAGAAGATGATCCCGGTATGTTTAGTCTTTCCGCGGGTTGCAGCGTGCCCCTTGAAACACATATTCAACGTCCAGATTCAGAGTAAGAAACGGAAACATATTGACGAGCTGCTTCGAAAGATCGAAGCCGCATGACCCGGAAACGATCCCGGCCCAACTGTCATGTTTCTGTAGTTGGGTTGGTAACCTACTTGCACATTGTATCGACCGACGCGGCTATCGTAATCTATGAGTGGCCAAAGATTGTCATGGGCTGATACGGCTCCTCGAGGTACTTGACCTCCTCTTCCGTGAGCTTGATGTCCACCGCGACTAGGCCATCGATCCGTCAAGACCTGATCAACATACCCACTAGAAGAACCTACCAATTAGCTCCTTGAGGCTGTCCAGCTTCGTGGTGCCGACGATCGGCGCGGTCACATCTTCCTTGGCCAGACTCCACGCGAGGGCGATCTGCGCCATAGTGGCGCCCTTCTTGCTCGCAAGCTCCTCTACCCTGCGAATGATCTCAGGCGATCCGGCACCGGTGTATCCGTTGATCATACTGCAGGCACTGATGCGTAAGTCGCAGATCGACGAGGGTTTGTGACATTGCATACCGGTCGGTCTGCGCCCGAGACGTAGACTTGTCCGAGATGGGACGCGTCAGAGCACCGCGAGCGAGCGGCGACCATGGGATCGCGCCGACGCCGAACATCTGTGGAAAAGAGACAGGATTAGGGTCAGCTGATGATGTACGCGTATATAATACCTTGCCTTCAGCGTCGGGAACATCTCGCGCTCCTCTTCGCGATACAACAGGTTGTGGTGATTTTGCATCGAGATGAACGGCGTCAGCTTGTTGTTGATGGCGTAGTCTGTGATTGTGGTCGGTAGATTGGTCAATGGCGAGCGACATAGACGTACTCTGCATGGCATGGACTACAGAACATTATGAGTACATATAGGTAGTAGGGAGGCAGAAGGCATACATTGGTAGGCATAGCAGGAACTCATGCCGATGTAACGGACATAGCCAGCTTTGACTACGTCGTGCAGAGCTTGCATAGTCTCCTCAATGGGCGTCATATAGTCGAATCGGTGGCCTGAAGCGGGTGTAAATTAAAGTGAGTGCGACCGTAGCACGCAAAGTCATACACTGCAGAAGATCAATATAATCAACTTGGAGACGCTTGAGACTCGCTTTGACCGAGTCAAATACATGCTGGGAGGGATTATGTAAGGGCTATCATGAGAAGCAAAAAGCGGCTGCACCTTGCGGTTCAGGCCTCTCTGGTTGATGATACCGTAGTCCGCTGGCTTCTTGCCGGAACGGATGATGTTGATGTTCGGGTCCGGAGAGACTGCTCCATTGAGCTGATAGGCGCATCAGGAGACATAACATCACATGGGACAATGCATGGCACCGGCCTTGGTCATGATGACAAGCTCTTCGCGAGGTAAGTTCAATTTCCTGATCGCGTTGCCCAGAATGATTTCGGAATGACCATTTGAATACACCTATGAGAATGATGTCAAGCAAGTCTGAGAAAAATCAGACATAATTGGGCTCCCACATTTGCGGTATCGAATGTTTGGATCCCATTATCATGTCTGTCAAAGATATGTGAACACCCGACCACAAAATACAAAGAATACCAGGGGCACATACGCGAATTTAATATGCTCGATGGCCTCCTCTTCATCGAGAACCCACTCTTGCCAACCCTTGAGGCCGTAGGACATGCATCCCAAGATAATCTTGGAGACTTTGAGACCAGAATTTCCGAGGCGGACTGGCGGAGTGTTCAGTCTTGTTTTCACGCAAGACACAAGAGGAAGTGGGCTAGTCACCATACTGCATCTTCCCCGTCGTTGCAGCCATCTTCACAAGCTCTCTACGTTGAGAAGTTGTAATGCGTGAACCCTATCTTCCGCAAGATACGTTCCCTTATAAATGGTGCCTACGCGGTGACGCAATCCTGCACGCAAAAGGCATATCTAGCTCTGATGTATATATGGTGCGCTGGACGTGCCGGGCGGTCACATTCTCATGACAGAGCCCTGCAGATTCCCAGACGGAACGCGAAAGCCGGAAGGCGTGGGAACTGAGCAAGCGCCGAAGCTTCAATCAATCCGTTGACATTAAACAGGTTCTCACTCCTACTTATGACCGAGGATGGATACGTTTCGGTAAGGCTCCTCCAAGTATTCCTTCTCTTCCTCACTGAGCTCGATTTCGGTGGCAGCTGCAAATATTAGTTGCTAATCAATATCCTCTCAACATTGCACAACCCAGCTAAGGCGTACCAATGATATCTTTCAGGTTCTCGATCCTCGTCGTGCCGACGACAGGCGCAGTAACGCCCTCTTTGGAGAGAACCCACGCGATTGCAGCTTGGGCCATCGTAACGCCCTTCTTCTTAGCTATCTCTTCGAGTCTGGAACGCGTCTACTTCAGCGACCGCTAAGCTGACTAGATAAAGCCCTTGATCTACCTCTTGACAATATCGCTGGTCGCTCCCTGCTGGTATCTCTTGATGAACCAGTCGGTCTCACCTCGAAGCGACTGCTGTTCCGGGGGTCGACTGAGCAGCCCGCGCGCCAGGGGAGACCACGGAATGCTCCCGACGCCAAACATCTAGTAACAGAGCGACATGAGCTCGCGGACTGCAGTAAGCGTGAACAAGCGAACCTTCAGTGTCGGGAACATTTCCCGCTCTTCCTCGCGGTATATCAAGTTGTAGTGATTCTGCATCGAGATGAAGGGCGTCAGGTTCTGTGAGATAGCGTAGTCTGAGAGGCGAGGCTATCGTCAGAACAACAACTCCGGATTCAAATTGCTCCGCTCACTTTGCATTGCATGGACTTAACAATATCAAGTCAGTTCCTAGTATCCGGCACTTGTCGAGACAAAAGTTGCAAAACGTACATTGATAAGCATAGCACGAGCTCATCCCGATATAACGGACGTAGCCAGCTTTGACCACATCATGAAGCGCTTGCATGGTCTCCTCGATAGGCGTGTTATAGTCGAAGCGGTGACCTACAAAACAATAAGTATACCCTCTAATAGATCCACTAGTATGGCGAACATACATTGCAAAACATCGATGTAATCCATTTGGAGTCGCTTCAGCGAGGCCTTCACAGAGTCGAAGATATGCTGGACACAAGCTCAGCGTCGCCATCTTATGGAAATCAGTGCGCGTATACCTTGCGGCTCAGACCCCACTGGTTCACGAGCCCGATTGTATCTGGATCAACGCCCATCGCGACGACATTTGTGCTGAAATCGCGGGCGAAAGGGTGGCACACCTATTATCGCGTGTTAGTCCTATCGCGCACCACAAAGTGCGTGGCGGAGTACAGTGTACCTTGGTCATGACGACGATCTCTTCCCTACGGATCCCCAGCTTCCTGATTGCGTTGCCGAGGATAATCTCGGACAGGCCGTTCGAATAAACCTAAACACAAGTCACAGCTCATGAGCCAAAGCACATTGCGCTTGATACGCCAGAAATGCTCACGTCCGCAGTGTCAAACGTCTGAATGCCGTGCTCGTACCTGCGATAACTCAGCAGCGGGAAGAAGGGAAGTGTTGTGATGCAACCTACGCGTATTTGATGTGCTCGACAGCGTCGTCCTCACCAAGAGCCCACCCCTGCCAGCCTTTGTCGCCGTACTGCATCGTGCCGAGGATGATCTTCGAGACCTTCAGGCCTGAGCTGCCCAAGCTCACTGTTCGTCCGTCGCATTGAGCGCTATAGTCTTAGAACAAGATGACAACGGGGTGTCACGCACCATATTTCATCTTCGTCGGAGCGGTGCCAGCCATCGCAGTATTCAGGAAAGACTTCAAGGTTGGGAACGCGCATGTCGATTCGACATGTATCCTACTATATATATATATGCGTGCGTGTGTAAAGCGAAGTAAAATTTCTCATGCTTCCAATGAAGTCACCAAGCGTCTTCCTCCTTGAGAAGCGTTCGATATCAAACCCTGAAATCCGGGCGGTGCGCCAGGTGGGTCGTGATTCACGGTTCGAAGCCTCCAGATGTGAAGAGCGTCCTGCTGGGAGCGGTAGGCTCGGACGGGATAAGTGCTATCTCCAATTCTCCCGTGCAGACGGCTGCAGCGGGGCTCGAGCATCATCTTGAGCCCAATACCAACGGGGCATAAAGCGCCACACAAGGCGGCCGTAGCGGCCAGTAGCATCTGACTTGGTTGCTTAACTGAACGTTGAGCAGATCCCAAAGCCTGTCCAAGGACGACAGCATTGTAGAGGCGACATAGCGACCAATCCTGCTGTTCCTGCTGCTACGATTACTGTCTGCTTATCGTATTTTGTCTTTTCTGGACGTCGTTGAGGACGTGCTTTGATGGCTTTACCGTCCGGCTTGGTCAGACACTCCACGGCACTCGGACGCAACGCGTAACATGCGTTTAAAAAAGCATGCTTACTTATCTCTGACTCGACCCTTCAGACTCTACGGCTCCGCTGGTGAGCAGGGGCGCCGGGGAGGTTCTCAACGGAGGTCATGGCCGCGTAAGATCCTCAAAGAGCATACGCTTGAGACCCTACGAAATACGGATCGGCCCTTCGCGGAGGACGATGCGACCCCCGCTTCCAAGTTCCTAACTGCTCGCTAAGTGGCCCCACGTACACTATTATCCGATTACTTGGTTATTCTTCCTCTTACTGCGAGACACGTACCTGGCCGCCCTAGAGATCTTGTGCGAGGATGCTACTACATAAAGAGGTTCAAAGTAGCTGATCATTGAATGCAACGCAGAGCATGTTTGCAGAAGGGTAGCTTACAGGCACGAGACTAGGCTGTGGGGCACAGTACGTTCGGGTCAGTACGTTCGTGCACAAGATTTGTGTTCCGCCATTGCGGACGTACCGCTTACCTTCTCAAGAAGCTGGACTTACTCGATCAGTCACCTCAGTGACGGCTGTCTGAAACATAAGCGATCCAGTAATGATCTTGTAGTAGCCAAGTAACAAATTTGATCTATTGAGATGGATATGGATATCTGCGATAATCCCTCTGCTTACCTTCAGCCTAGTGCTCGACATTTTGACTTCGACCTTGACACTCCCTTCGACCTGCTTCTGTTTTTTCTTTCTGTATCATTTCTTTTGACGTCCCAGAACCACTGCAATCCGCAACGCATAACTCTACTCTCAGCACATACTTTTGACGATACTAGACGACAGACGACCCGCCATGGCCATCTCTGTCCCCGACTCCTGGATCGAAAGGCTCATGCGCTGCGAGAATCTACCCGAGACAGATATGAAGACGCTATGTGAACGGGTACGATGCATTCTCATGGAGGAATCAAACATTCAGCCAGTCTCGAGTCCGGTTACGATCTGCGGCGACATCCACGGCCAGTTCTGGGACCTCCTCGAGCTTCTCCGCAAGGGCGGTGCCCCACCGGAGACGAGCTATATATTTATGGCACGTAGGTCGCCCTCAGACTCCGCCATCCCCGCCCGCTAAGCGACCTCCAGGGCGATTTTGTCGACCGCGGGCACTACAGCCTCGAAACAGTATCGCTCCTACTTGCTCTGAAGGCGAAGTGCGTCCGGCCGCTGCATGTAGAGAAATCCAAGGACTGACCGAGCACAGATACCCTGACAAGGTGACACTTCTACGAGGAAACCACGAGAGCAGGCAGATTACGCAGGTGTATGGTTTTTATGGTGTGTACCGCGACTGTGTGAATGCGATCATTGCTCACGCGGTCTCCAGACGAGTGCCAACAGAAGTACGGCAGCGCACTCGTTTGGAAAGCATGTTGTAGCGTCTTCGACTACATGAACCTTGCTGCTGTGAGCTCCCTCCGCCTCTGTTTTCACCCCACCCCCTCATGGACCGCAAGATCATCGATGGCGAGACGCTTTGCGTGCATGGCGGGCTCTCTCCAGATATCCGGACCTTAGACCAGATACGCGTCCTTTCACGAGCCCAAGAGATACCACACGAAGGCGCCTTCTGCGGTGAGCACCCCTCTACCGACTTCCCGCACGCCTCTCTGAACCCCCGCGTAGATTTGATGTGGTCCGACCCCGACGAAGTCGAGAACTGGGCGGTGAGCCCACGCGGGGCGGGCTGGCTTTTCGGCGCAAGCGTAACGCAAGAATTCAACCACGTCAACTCGCTGCGGCTCATCGCGCGCGCACACCAGCTCGTCCAAGAGGGCTACAAGTACATGTTCGATGAGCAGCTTGTCACCGTCTGGAGCGCACCCAACTATTGCTACCGTTGCGGGAATATGGCGTCGATACTGACCGTGCGCGAGGACGGGAGCAGGCATTTCACTGTCTACGGCGCTGCTCCCGAGAACGAGAACGACAGAGGGCAGAAGAATAGGAAGATGGTAAGTTGCGCAGTCGCCGACAAGAATATTCTGGGGGTGCTAATGATACCGTAGGGCGCAATGCAATATTTTGTATGAATAATGTCACTTCGTGCACCAGTTGTAGCCGCTCGATATTACTCAGAGGTCTTGGTGGTTCTGACGCGTCGTTTCCGTCGATGGAGTCAGTTCGTGAGCGGAACCGGAGTAGTACGTGATTCCGTCCTTCGATACAGAATGGTGTGCAATCACAAGGTCATCGACAGCTGGTGTGTAGGCCTTCTCCGCTCTCTGGACTTCCGGTGAAATTGGACCTCGTATCTCATTTTGTTCGGATGACTGGACGACGAGGGCTCAGTAGGGCGTCCGGGTAACCATGAAGGAAACGTTAACATCAGTCACCGCTTGAGGTGTGCGCATACTGAGATTCACGACAAGTATTCGCCGGTATAGCCGTCTGAAAGGAAACCTTCTAACCTTTCCGGGCCGAGCAGTGTCAGCGTCATGCGGATATCACGGAAGTTCTTTCAGCGTGCTTACATACGCGGATTCCCGTCGTGATAGGTGAGCACAGGTAGCTCTCCAGCAAGAGGATGAAGTAAAATAACTTTCTGGTAGTCATTTCGCTTAGAGGAAGCCCCCGCGCGCGGACCTGATACCCAATTTCATAACGACGAAGTTCAGCCAGCCGTCAGAACTCCCTTGTGTTGCAAAGTAGTTGGCCTGCGTGACGGTCCTCATAGAGTAAGAGCGTTGATCTAAATGCATTAATAGCGCAAGAAGGTGCTGACTTATGACGCCTGAAGTAATAACGTGCCTCGGAACGAACATCAGACTCGGGAGTTGCTCGCCTAAACGAACCAGTGACATCTTACTGGTCATGTTGTAAAGCGTGCGTCACCTTGCGGCCGCTTGCCTCGTCAAGCTCGGCAGATACTTTCGCGGCATACGCGTCACCACGGCAGCTTATTCAGCGCACATAACGGATACAATATACCCGGAGCAATAGGCACACACTCTTTGCTTACCTCACCTCCCACCACAGGACGCGCCGTGGCACATGAAATCATGAGTCCGTCCACTATCGTGACCATATCAAGATCAGTATCACAGGCAACGACAATGCGGACGCTTCTTTACGAGAGAGTTGGGGCGTATATATACCGCCAGGATATGAGAGTAACGAGTTCAAGCGTTCTCACCACCCTCACACCGTTTCGCTTGCGCACTAGACCAGCAACATGACCGAAGCTCCGAAGGCAAAGATGCAATATGGTATGGTTTACGCATATGGACCGATAAGCTGGCACTGAAGAGATTTCACTACAGTCCGTCTGGGCAACTCCGGGCTGAAGGTGTCCAAGATTATACTTGGATGCATGTCCTACGGTATCAAGAGCTGGGCAGATTGGGTCCTCGAAGAAGAGGAGGCCATCAAGCACATCAAATATGCGTGAGTACTCTTGTTGAGCTGCAAAGCTTCCTCACAGATCCCGATCCGCACTGCTCGCTGGTTAGGTACGACGCCGGCATCCAGACGTTCGACACTGCCAATGTGTGTACGCTGTCATACCTCTAGTATAAGTGCAGCCTAACGAATTCCAGGTTTACTCTAACGGCTACTCGGAGACCATCCTTGGCAATGCCATCCGGAAGCTCGGGCTTCCGCGGGAAGAGTTGGTCATCTTGACCAAAGTATACTTCGCATGTTAGCCTTCAGTTCGTCTTGGACTAAACTTTTATCTAACAGCTCTACGGCGCAGTGTCTCCGGACCCGAAAGTTAGCATCGTGCGCTCTGGCAAGGCGCCTGAGGAATTCGGTATCATCAACCAGAAGGGGTTGAACCGCAAGGTTTGCGACCTGGCCGTAGAAGTTCATACCGAGTCGACTAATCTGTAATGTGCAGCACATTTTCGACTCTGTCAAGGCGAGCCTGAAGCGTCTCCAACTCGATTACATCGATGTCCTGCAATGTGCGTCTCTGTCGAGCTGTTTGTTGCCACTCTGCTGACATACACTTTATAGGCCACAGGTTTGACACAACGACCCCTATCGAGGAGACTATGCAGGCATTGCACGACGTCGTCCAAGCTGGTTACGTTCGCTACATCGGAATGAGCTCGTGCCATGCCTATCAATGTGAGTCCGTTTTCCGGTCTACGTCTCTTCATAAGCTGATCGCGCCCCTCCACTAGTCCACGCCATGCAAAGTATGCATTTACACTTGCTCATAAGGTCGATGAGCTGGGACTGACAAGGCCTGTCTGCAGACTACGCCATCAACAACAAGCTCACACCGTTCATCTCGATGCAGAACCACTATAACCTGGTTTATCGCGAGGAGGAGCGCGAGATGTTCCCGACGTTAAAGGTCAGCTCACAGCTCCTATTCTCGCGTGGATGCTGATCAGGACGCACCACAGCTCTTCGGTGTTGGCTCGATCCCCTGGTCGCCGCTCGCGCGTGGCCTGCTCACGCGCCCGTTCTCTGTGACACTCGAGAAGGGCACCTCGCGCACTAAGTCTGACCAGTACGTCTTCCCATTTCCCTGCTCTATCTCATGCGCTGAACTCTGTCTGAAGATGGGTACACGGGTATACTGGAGCGGGGACGTCCGCAGTCGTTGCGCGTGTTGAGGAGCTAGCACAGAAGAAGGGCAAGACGATGGCACAGATCGCGATCGCGTGGGAGCTCGCCAAGGACGGGGTCACCGCACCCATTGTTGGCACAACGAGCCTGCAAAACTTGAAGGAGATCATCGGTGCGTCGCAGCCCTACTTAACACAGATATTTCTGTCACGTTTACTGACCGAGGCTGCAGACGCGCTCGATGTCAAGCTCGATGAGGAGGATACCAAGTACCTCGAGGGGGCATATCAGCCGACTGCGATTTTCGGGCACTAGTAGCAGGCCTGCCTGCCTAAAGATAACTCTTCACAGGCTTTTGCATTATCACAGACAGTACTTGCATTTTGGACTCATGTTGTTCCCCTTCTGCGCTTGAAGTAGTCCTGCTAGTACTAGTGGCATCGTCATAGTCACAAAGCTCTGTCTGTAAACACAAAATAAATACGCGTCATCTCTGCCTATTTCTGGTATTTACCATATTCCGGCAATGTCTCGAGATGTATTGAATTTCATCACATGAAGGCTGCCAAATAAGCCAGGTCTTTCCGGACAAGCAAGGCGGCTGTTGTCGAAGGAGACGCTCCACAACTTGTGTGTTGACAGTGCGATAAAGAGCCTTGAAGTGCTCGCCTACAAGGAGATTGTGTATGATGGGGGCTTCATCCCGAGCCGCAATTTTTCCCGGGAGGGCTCCAAAATGCGATCTGTGTGGACCAGAGTGGAGCAATTAAGTCCAAATCTCGACGCAGGAGAAGATCGAAAGACCCAGCCCTAACCTTAGACAAACGGCCAAATTTGTCCCTGGCCAGTGGTTCCACGGGCTTTGAATATTTAAATACTCCTATAGAGCACTCTAAAAAGCATTAATGAGCCTTCTGCATAAACTTGAGATACTCCTCTCTGTATTGCGGTCATCCTAAACATGATGCATAATGCCATGAGGGCAGACGTTGATCAATTAAGCGCCATATTACGTAACGAAGGCTTCTATGGAACTCGGGAGGCACGGGCAAGTACATGGCAGTCACAAGCCCATGATGTCGGTCGCGACACGGCATTACCACCAGCGGGAAAGGGGTGCCGCCTACTTCCTCTCGTTGCGGCGCACGCGTCACCACGGCAGCTTATTCAGCGCGGATATCGGATACAATTCATCCGGAGCAATATATAGGCATACGCTTTTTTGCTTATCTCACCATCCGCCGTTCACATGAAGTCATGAGTCCGCGCTCACTATCGTGGTCATACCAGGATAGGTATCACAGGGAACGACAACACGGAAGCTTCCTTGTGGGAGAGCTGGGGTGTATATATACCGCAGGATATGAGAGTAACGAGTTCAAGCGTTCCCACTGCCCACACTCGACCCTTGCCGTGACACCGCTGTGCTTGCCAACTAGACCAGTAACATGACCGAGGCTTCGAAAGCAAAGATGCAATATGGTATTGTTTACGCATGCCGACCGATGGCCTGGCACTGAAGAGGTTTCACTACAGTCCGTCTGGGCAACTCCGGGCTGAAGGTGTCCAAGATTATACTTGGATGCATGTCCTACGGTATCAAGAGCTGGGCAGATTGGGTCCTCGAAGAAGAGGAGGCCATCAAGCACATCAAATATGCGTGAGTACTCTTGTTGAGCTGCAAAGCCGCCTCACAGATCCCGATCCGCACTGCTCGCTGGTTAGGTACGACGCCGGCATCCAGACGTTCGACACTGCCAATGTGTGTACGCTGTCATACCTCTAGTATAAGTGCAGCCTAAATAAATGGTCAAATCGCTAGGTCTACTCTAACGGTCACTCGGAGATCATCCTTGGCAATGCCATCCGGAAGCTCGGGCTTCCGCGAGAGGAGTTGGTCATCTTGACCAAGGTATACTTCGCATGTTAGCCTTCAGTCCATTTTGGACTGAACTTTTGTCTGACAGCTCTACGGTGCGGTGCCTCCGGACTCGACAATTAGCATCGTGCGCTCTGGCAAGACGCCTGAGGAATTTGGTATCATCAACCAGAAGGGGTTGAACCGCAAGGTTTGCGACCTGCCCATAGAAGTTCGTACCCAGTCGGCTAATCTGTAATGTGCAGCACGTTTTCGACTCTGTCAAGGCGAGCCTGAAGCGTCTCCAACTCGACTATATCGATGTTCTGCAATGTACGTTTCTTTCGAGCTGTTTGACGCCACTCTGTTGACATGTACTCTATAGGCCATAGGTTTGACCCGACGACGCCGATCGAGGAGACCATGCAGGCATTGCACGACGTCGTCCAAGCTGGTTACGTTCGCTACATCGGAATGAGCTCGTGCCATGCCTATCAATGTGAGTCTGTCCCTTAGTCTACATCTCTTCATACGTTGATCATGTCCCTCCATCAGTCCATGCCATGCAAAGTATGCATCTACACTCACTTATGAGACTGATGGGCTTAGATTAACACGGACTTGTCTGCAGACTACGCAATCAACAACAAGCTCACACCATTCATCTCGATGCAGAACCACCATAACTTGATCTATCGCGAGGAGGAGCGCGAGATGTTCCCGACATTGAAGGTCAGCCCATAATTCCTTCCCTCGTGTGCCAATAGCACTGACCAGGGACACACCACAGCTCTTCGGTGTTGGCTCAATCCCCTGGTCACCGCTCGGGCGTGGCGTGCTTACGCGCCCGTTCTCTGTGACGCTCGAGAAGGGCACCTCGCGCACCAAGTCTGACGGGTACGTCTTCCCGTTTCTCTGCTCTATCTCATGCGCTGAGTTGCGTCTGAAGATGGGTACACGGGTACGCCGGAGCGGGGACGTCCGCGATCGTCGCGCGCGTCGAGGAGCTGGCGCAGAAGAAGGGCATGACGATGGCACAGATCGCGCTCGCGTGGGAACTCGCCAGGGAAGAGGTAACCGCACCCATTGTTGGCACAACGAGTCTGCAGAACCTGAAGGAGATCATCGGTGCGTCACAGTCCTGCTTGATAGGGATATTTTCGTGGGCCCTGCTGACAGAGGTTTGGGTGCAGATGCACTCGATGTCAAACTCGACGAGGAGGAGGTCAAGTACCTCGAGGAGCCATACCAGCCGACCGCGATTTTCGGGCACTAGTAAACGGCTATCCCGCTTGTATATAGCTCTGCACAGGCTTTTGTGTATTCGCCGACAGTACTTGAGTTTCGGAGTGCATCGAGAAAGACGCAGTCATGAGAACTTTCCAAGCTGGTGTGATACTAGTACTAAGGTTAAAAGATTGGCATGAAATGTGCTCATCAGGATTAGGTTTAGTGAATGATGGGTCTTTGGTACGGTAGTCTAGGGCGGTTATGGGAACCAATGCCCGCCTGCTGGCACTAATAAGAGCCCAAGGGGTTCAAGTGCGGCGGGGTTACAGTTTACACTTTGAAGGAGAAAAAAAAAGAACGAAAACACTAGCCCACCGCGAGGGTCGAACTCGCAGCCTTCAGATTACACTTAACGGCGTGTATTCACCCGCGCTCTAAGAGTCTGACGCTCTATCCGATTGAGCTAGGCGGGCGATAATCCGTATGCTGATCTGTCATACATAAAGGAGCACGCCACGGCAAGCAGAAAGCCTATGTCTCCGTGTTATTGCTTGTGGTACTACTTCGTCGCGACTTACTCGGTACAGATTGTAAGCGTTGTAAGGAAGCGCATTATTTGCATTCACATTTCCCCCTCTGCTAGGATTAGCATATCCACGGTTGCCTATGACGATCAGTCTCCCCGAAGTGAACACCCCATCCGGAACCATGACTGCGGGCGAACGCCTCCTGAAATCATAGCTTACAATCTGTACAGAAGTGCTACCGTAGGTTCTTTGTACACGAGGGCCCGTAGAGAATGGTCCCTCGGCTGTACGGGTGCCTATGCTTCTACCACCTTGAAGGCCGTCGGGAATGGCCTCTAGTTATGCTCTGAACACTTCGCGCTGGCGTGACGGTGGTGAGCTCTACAGTAGGACTCTGAGTGAGCCAAAATTCCTGGACTGTTTTCACACGACTCGCACAAAACGCGCGCGTTTTAGGTTGGCAATATTCTCAGATATATATATATATATATATATATAGAATTTTAATTTCTAGAGTAAAAACGACGTTCGCAGGAGATTTGACATCTTTCGTTTCAAAAAGACTCAAATACAAAAGACTCGGGCCAGATTACTGGAAGTAATTTGCGGCAGAACCCTTCGCCAAGTTCCACGCCTCATCGAGAGCCTTGACAACTTCTTCGGCTGCACCACGGTCAGATTTAGTCACAGGTCAAATATTGTATGTTACTTACGCAAAGGACCTTTCTGGAGGTCGACAAGGTTCTGGCGCGTCGAGTCCAAATGAGCTCGTTGTCTAACATGCCAGCACACGACGGACTGACCTGCTCAGCCTGCTGTGCGCTCGAGGTGCCGATAATAATCGCGTCTCCATGTTCGTGCTTGAGGAGGCTGTGGTGGGACATCCAACGGAGGGCGATTTCGGCGAGCGTCAAGTTGTGCTTCTTCGCGACTTCTTCAATCTTCTCCAGCGCGGCAAAGTACGGTTCGTTCCAGTACCATAAGCGCGAGATCTGCCAAGCACAACTTCAGCTGTAGCGATAATATGCAGAGAATGGAAAACAGACCTTGCCGATCGTGCTGTTCGGGTCGAAGCGCGTGCCTGGCTCGATCCGGTCGTGCATCGAGCGGTAACGGCCCGTGAAGAACCCACCACCGAGCGGATTGAACGCGTAGAACGCAATGCCGTATTCGCGCAGGGCCGGGAACAGCTCAGGTTCAACGGTACGGTGTACCGCGTTGTAGAGCCCCTGATACGCCGTGGGCACGACGTAGCCGTTCACCTTGCATATCTCCACGACCTGAGCGACCTCCCAGGACATGTAATTGCTGAGTCCAAAATGCTGGAACTTTCCCTCCTTGTAGAGGTCGTTCACGGCCTTGAGTGTCTCCTCGAAGGGTGTCGTCCGGTCTGGCGCGTGAAGATACCGCAGGTTGATGGAGCTACGCGAGTCAGCCGCAGTGTTCGTCGGATGTGCGCACTGACTCACTCGGTCTTGAGAGCCCTTAAGGACTCGTCCAGGTACTTGCGCAGATCCTACAAACCACCGTGGTCAGTAAGTATCCTGTGGCGCCAGTGCTGCATCACCCACATCCGGCTTGTGGCTCATCAGCGGTGCACCAGGAAGGGGATACCCGTTCGTCTGGAAGAACCGTCAGTGGCAGGCCCCGGGCATAGAGCGCCTCCAGATGTACCCCATTCGGCCAGAGCTTCGTGTCCAGGATGAGCCCGCGCTTCTTCCAGTCGAGTTCGCCGAGCACCTTCTCGCTCGTGCCTCCGGTGTAAATGCGCGCGGTATCGACCTGGTAGTGGCCATGCGCCTGGAAGACGTCGAGGATCGCCCCGACGTCCACCACACCCGTCACACGTACGTTATTTGTGCCCAATTCCCCAAAGTTTCCGGCACCCTGAGGCCCAACTCAGCATGTACACAGCAAAAATAACTACGCAGGGAAGCCGACCATGACGATGTTCAACGTGGTCTTCTGCTTTGGGTGGGACACCTTGAAGTGAGTGTAGATGTTACTGTTTCTCTATCTTGGTGCTTGAAGCTGATGAGTACCGCCGGATGAGGGGTTGGTTTATATCTGCCACCGCGATGTGGCTTAGTAAGGTCGAGGGGAACGCATCCATAGTCAAGGATCCCCGAGCGCCGAATGGTCAGGCAGAGGAAAATGTTCAGTTGATAGGTACCTGCGAGCTGTGACAAATCAGATCTAAACGCGGGTTGAGGCTACAAAAGCTCCAAACAAATATTATTTACTCACCAATAGGAAACTCAGAGCCTTGGCACCAGACGTGCGCGGTGAAGTGCATGAGTGCACACTGAAATCGATAGTGCGTAGTGCAGGCTCTGCATAGCCTGCGAGAGCCCTGTTATCTTTATTCTCGAGCGAGTATAGCGCAATGGAGTAGAATGCCGAGGAAAAGAGAGCACTCGCTCGCCACACGAGGGGACTTAGTCATCATGGTGAAGACCGAGGCGGCCCAGCCGGGAGCGACGGGTGTAAGGAGATTGCTTGGATGCGCCCACGTATGTGCCTGATGTCGCGAACAGATTGATCGTCGTGTGTTGCGCAGCCGGCTACCATTCAAAACGAGCCTGGTCGGACATCCTTGAGTTTCCTGTACTGGGCCCGCGCTGGTACTGACGGCATTCAACGTGAATGTTATGGATCTGTAAATGTCTTGATGACTAACCAGTACGAGCTAGACCTGCTCGCAGATAGATAACTTGCCTACGCGAACACGACGGGAGTCTAGCGGGCAGTAATCATCGAAAACCGGGGAGTATAGGTCCGCGTGAGCCCGTGGAGCGGTGGATGGACCTAAAATTGGCCACCAGCGAACGTCTAGCTGCAGAGAAGCGCGTCCGAAGGGCAGTCCCAACATTATACGCCATCTTCGTGAACATGCCGTGCACCACAGTAAGCCGGATGAGGGCATCATCGTACCTTCACTCCATCATGCTGTAGTGCGATGCCTGATAGAAGGCAAGCTCGGCGGTCATCATGCTACAAAGCCCTTCGTGGCATCTCCAGCGTGAGAGCGCGCTGCCTCGCTTTTCTTGGCCTGCGTTCTCCGATGGTCGCGCATACTGTAGTTTGTATGGCTATAAAAGCCGTCATGAACGCTTATTTTCAAATATGAGACCAGTACTCGACGCCAACACCATGGATGGCGAACAGGCAATTGAAAAAGCGAGAGTCTGCTTAGCGCCATGAAAAGGCATCACGTGAGCTTCATTTGTCCGTGTCCGGCAAAGCCCGAGAGCAGCGCCGATAAGTATTTGATGTCCACAAGTCGGGGGCAGCTCCCAATTATCCCTCAAATTCAAAGTCTGATTTGGTGGGGGTGGCTCATGATGGATCTCTTGTCCTGGACTCGCGCCCTGCCCAAGATCTTCACGACTTGAGCCTTCCCGGAATTAGTGTAGTCAGGAGCGCTAGCCGTTCTGCAAACTCGCACACATTTGATACTCCGACTCTCTTGACATACATTGTGCTCGGTGCGCCAAAAACAGCCGCATCTTATTTAAGCTGCTCGTGCTTGAGCCGGATAAGAGACAACAGTCGATGGAGATCGGCCTCCTATGGCTTCCAGTTGCTAGGGCACTGAAGCGCACCTAATTATTCTACAATGGCCAACGAAATAAGTTTGCTCTCTATAATCATACCAGTTACTCCGTCGTGCTACTTGATAGGTACTGGGGGTCGGCTGGCACTGCTACGGCACCGTGCCGCGAGCTTTTTAGATACCCATTAAGATCTAGTGGCTCATGAAGCTTCTGCTACCATATTCATCGCTAGTAGAAAATAAGGATACGAGTCTTGACGCTGCTGAGAAAGATAAGCTGCGCCCGGGTGCACGCGCCTCAATGCGACGTGATGAACAGAATGAAAGCGGTACCGTATTGCTCAAGTTACAAGCGCGTGGGAACGCCACAAAGGTATCGGAGTTCGCACAACATGATCCGATTCGTTGGAGCCGGGTCCAGGCCCTGTGTGCACAGCTCGTAGAGCTCCCTTGGCTTACGAACTAATCAGAATTGGACCGGCCGGAAACGGTTGGTATCATTTGAGCACTAGTGGCACTCAACGCGGATGGCGCAATAGATCGTCCGCTGCAGCACTTTCTGCTCTCAGATATACATACAGGTGCGGCAAAATGGACAAAAGGAGCGATACGGAAATACATCCCGCTGTGATTACAACTTATCAACCTACGCACACCGGCAGATAGCACACACAAACAGCGAGTGATCAGTAAGGCTGAACAAGTCCATAGCAGCGCGGTTGCCATTTTATAATTGCAAACTGCCATGTGGAAGAACAGCTACGCCAGCGTATCAGTGAAAATAATTCGTGGCAGTCCCCTTGACCGAGGCCCAAGCCTCGTCCAAAGTCTTGACAACGTCTTCGGCTAAATCACGGTCAAAGCGCGTTCTACCACTTCTATAAATGTGACACTCACGCAGCGACCCCTTCTCGAGGTCAATAAGATTCTAAACCCCCGCCGTATATGAATTTCGTGCCAGACACGAGACAACGCTTACTGACCTGCTCGATGTGCTTCAGGCTCGAAGCGCCGATGATGATCGCATCGCCGTGCTCGCGCTTCAGCAAGCTGTGGTGCTCGACCCAGCGAAGGGCAATCTCGGCAAGCGTCAGATTATACTTCTTCGCGGCCTCTTCAATCTTCGCCAGAGCGTTGAAGTAGGCTTCGTTCCAGTACCGATAACGGTATCCCTGCCAGCAAACCTTCAGAAGCCGCAAGACTCCGAGCAGAACGCACGTACCTTGCCCTGCATCTTGTCTGGATCGAATCGGGAGCCGGACTCGACTTGGTCATGCGTCGAACGATATCTACCTGTAAAAAAGCCGCCGCCGAGCGGGTTGTATTCATAGAACGCCATGCCATACTTGCGTAGGCAGGGAAAGAGCTCTGGCTCTACCGCGCTGTGCCCATGTCGTTGAAGTTTCCCGCTTTAATTCGTAAAGAGACGAACATACCGGTGGATCGCGTTGTAAAGTCCTTGGTACGCCGTGGGCATGACATACCCATTTGTCTTGCAGATCTCCGCGATTTGGGCGACTTCCCAGGACATGTAGTTGCTGATTCCGAAGCGTTTGAACTTGCCCTCCTTGTAGAGCTCATCCACGGTCTTAAGGGTCACCTCGTAAGGCGTCGTGCGGTCAGGGCCATGGAGGTACCACATGTCCAGGGAGCTGCTTGTAACTCAGCACATGGCTCTTCAGACACTTATGATGGACTCACTCGGTATTGAGCGCTTTCAAAGATTCGTCCAGGTGCTTGCGTAAGTCCTATACGGCGGTTATAAAACCTGACTGGCGCTATAGCTTCGCAGCCCGCACCTCTGGTTTGTGGGTGATCACCGGCAAGTCTCGCAGCTTATACCCATTCGGCTGGGGGGTACCGTCAGTCTCATGTTTTATATAGAGGCTCAGGTCAGCTTACGCCCATGGGGTAAAGCTTCGTGTCCATGGCAAGGCCGCGCTTCTTCCAGTCCAGCGCAGCCAGCACTCCCTCGCTCGTGCCCTGGGCGTACACGCGGGCAGTGTCGAGCTCGTAGTGGCCATGAGCTTGGAAGACATCGAGGATCGCTTCGATGTCTTTTACGTCATGCACACGTGCACCCTCGGTTCCCTTTGCGCCGAAGGTCATGCAACCCTGGGGTACACTTCAATACATGCAGGATGCGGAGACTGGAGGTACGGACTAACCATGACAATGTTTAGCGCGGATTTCTGTACAGGGCGGGACATCTTGTGTTATTTCCTGTTATGAGTCAACGTTGGCCTACGATGATTGCGAACATGGCTGGAGCAGGAGCAGTATATATACGCGACGGAAGATAAGCTTGGTAAGGTCGAGAGTCTTAGGCGCTTTTCCTGCCTGTGACGCCAGCGTCCGGCAGAGCACTTGCGCCGCGTCATATTTCGACAGTCAGCGTTCTCGACAGTGAGAACGACCGGCACGCAGTCGTTCCCAACAGAACTTGCGGCTTCTTTGACGGCCTCAGTGCCGGGACAGGAGCGACATGTGCCAGTCAGAAAAGCTTCTCCAGATCTGTAGTGGTAATTCGCTCTCGACCAGGGCTCGGTTGTCCCGTGAGATAGAAGTGAAGATGTCTAGATAAAATGGCCGCCAGAACAGCCGTATTCCCTGAGCGCGCAACGAAGACGAGCGCCAGAAACGCCGCCAAACCTTCGGAGCCCAGGTCGAGGACGACTCGGAGCCCTGGGTCCAACATGACATCAGCCTGATATTCGAGCCTGCTCAAGAATGAAATACCTTGCTCCTTCAGTGCAGTTGAAGCTGGACATGCTGCTCAAAATCGCAAATTCTCACTTTTCGGCTTGAATGATGCGGAAACCTGATGGATGTCCGTTAGTCAGAGCCCGTGAGGAGAGTCACACCGAGGCCAATATTGCTGGTCTGATGCACAACGAACAGAGAGCGCACAGTAGAAACAGCGCTCGTCATCACGGCTGACATTCCGGGGCGTTGATGAGCGCGAGAAACGAGCTGTGAATATCCGCCATGCAAATTACCGGCGGGTCTGAGACATCGAAATTCCCAAACGTGTCCTGATGCCGACCATGCGGAGTCCTGAGAAAGGCAAAGTGATCATGATGCGCCCCGTGAGAAGCTCATGATTGCCTCTCGTCTCGGATTCTCTTGCAAAACGACATCGACCGCGCATCCCGTCGCTCATGAGGCCGGGAAAGCAGATCATGCACAGAGGGGGAAAACGTCGAGAGGGGTACTCGACAAATGGGAGGTAGTTTCAATATGAAAGCTAACGAAGTAGAACGACAGAACGTGTAGAAGTTGCTATATGATAATTCACGTAGTATCTCTGCCCCACTAATATGCAAAAACGAATATCCCTGTCTATCCAAAGGGGAATAGTCAATTACCATGATAGATTGATGTGCGACGCCGCTGCCGTCGACTAGAGACCTAACGGTGGCGCTCGACCCTGATAGGCCTCCCGCGTGCCTTGTCCGCACGGTGCGGCCTGTGAATGCCTTCGCCCAGCACAACCGCGTCCAGTACGCCCGCGCCCGCAGCGAGCCGTACCATGTCCTCAGCAGCCAGGGCGGCATTTCGTCGGGGGTTCCGCCGCGGATCGTGTGCAAGCAACTGTGGCGGCGGCGGCGGCGGCATTACTGGCAGGGCGGGTGGAGGTGGCGCTGCTACAGGGACAGGCGCGGGCGCCGCGCCATGGCGGTGCCTGCGACGGAGTCGGGCAGGTAGAGCAGGTGGAGCCAGTACGGGCATAGGAGGATGTGCAAGCGCCGCATTGGGGTGCACATGCGCAAAGGCGGCAGCTGCGGCAGGGTTGTATGGCGGTGGCAGCAGTGGCAGCGGCGGCGGCAGTGGCGGCAGTGGCGGCATCCTCAGGTCGAGGAACGCCTGACCCATTGCACGATGCAGTGGTACTGGGGCGCCCATCACTGGCCTCGCGACTGCACGCAGACCGGCCGGGAAGGGCGGGGGATGGTGGTGGCGATGGTTAGGGTTGTTGCAGACTGCGTGCTTAGGCGGTGCCTTGGGCAGGTCGACTCTGATGTCTGCTTCGTTGACTCCGGGATGCGCACGCCTGTACTCTTCCTGCGCTCTCCTCGCAGCCACAGCAACCTGGCAAAATTCGGTCAGCGTTGGACGCGGTACATGGGACCGAAGACATACTTCTTCCGAGTGTCGCTGCTCAGTGTCTGATTCCCATAGCGGACATTTTCGACTGTCTTTTGGCAAATTATACGGAGGTGCCTAGATCTCGTTTAGTAAAGGTTTGCAGGTATCAGAAGATAGGAACCGTACCTGATTAAAATGCTCGTAACCGTTGATTATCTTGCGACAAGTGTAGCATGACATCGTTTTGCAATGCGGGCAGACCATTTTGTTGCACTGAGTGGAGGGTTAGCCTGCAATCAGACAGAAGGGAGAGGTGGACATACCCCAGCCTCCTTTATAAATGCTGATAGTGGTTTATTTAGCGCAATGAAGGGGCCGTAAATGCCTCTTCACGTACCTTTGTTACAGCTCGGACAATTACGCATGAGGGCAGCAGCTGGACGCATATGATATTAGACGAGCATTCACCGGGATGAGGAACAAAGAACGTACTCATAGCTTCCTCGATAGCGTGGCGAGCGTCGAGCTTCTTGTCTTCCGCAGCCTCTGCGACAGCCTGTCAAACACCAGTATTTCGAATGTATGTCTGGTCACGTACCCTCGCAGCTCTTGGGCAAGTGATCCTGCATCATAGCCCATCAGAAACTGGAGAAAACGGACGTCACAAATCTTGCTCACTAGCTTCTTGCACTTCCGACAAGAAACGGCGCCGCACTCTTCGCGCTCGCACCTAAACAGCTTCTCCTGCTCGTTCTCGATCACGACCTGGTACTCGCAGAACGGGCACTCCTCGAGGTTTTCGAGCCCCGCTGCTTCGAGCTCCTTCCGCTGGCTGACGCGCTCGTACAGCTCAAGCAATTTCGGCGTGAGGATCCGGCGGAGCTCCGATGGCGCGAAGAGCAGCTTGCACCCAGACTGGTCCATGCAACTGATCGCGTGATTGTGCTCGCCGAGGAGCGTCGCAGCGTAATTCGTGACGCAATCCACGCAGAAAAGATGCGTGTCTGGGCACTGAGTCATTTTGCTCTGATAGGACGATAATATGAGCAGAGAAGCTGGAATGCAGCAATGGAGACGTACAAAGGGATAGGTCGAAAAACAGCATCCACACTCCAGACCTTCGCCGTCGTCCCCTTCCACGCCGTGCAAGGCGACGTCCTCCTGCAGCTTGCGCACAAGCCACGCCCGTTCTTTCTCGAACTCTACGTCGTGGTGCGCCTTCCCCTTGCCTTTGCGTTTCTTGCCAGACGATCGGGCTGTGCCATTCGTAGATGTCGTTTCCCGTCGCTGAGCATGCAGGGAGAGATAGGTCGGCGCATACAGTCTATTGTGTTCTGCAAAGCGCCGTTGTACCTCGTCACAGGGAATACTAGGAAACTCCTGCGAGAGTTGATTCTGAGTCGAACAGTAAGCATCTGTCGGGTAGTCCAAGCGGTATGGCGGACTCACTAAAGCCAGGACGTCGTAGTACTTGCCTCCAAGGCGTGCTCTACCTTGGCTAGTATAGTCGGGCCCATCAAGCTTCCTTGCTTTCGCAGGGACTGCCTCTTCTGCACCTTCGTCTGACGAACGTTTCCGCTTCCTCGACACCTTTGGGTAATTGGGCGTTTCGAACAGGGAGTGCAAAACCCGCTGTAGAGCAACTTCATACGGGTCCAGGGCGGTGGCAGTTGTACCTGCAGAGTCTACGTTTTGGACATCGAGGTGGTGCCGGATGAGCTTCAGTAGATGCGTAGGCTCGACGTCGGGGACGATCTCGAGTACCTGCGCCACCGTCAGGGACATTGGGTCCTGTTTTGGCTCTGTAGGCTGGGACTGTGGACGATCGCTGCTCCCTGAAGCTGCTGCATATGAAGGGTGACATACAGCGACAAGGGCGTTCGCCTCATTGTGCGGGCCGCCACCGAGGGCATTCATGGCGTCCACCTTAAACTCGCCACTCGTTACATCAACGTTTTCTTTGGTTTGAGTGGTCGTAGACACAATGGAAATAATGCCGTCTGACGAACGAGCTTTTTGGGACTTAACAACAACAGGCGAGGGATCCCGCACATGAGGCACAGCTGCTGACCTGTCCTTGTCATGAGTTTTTGGATACTCCGCGTTCTCGAAAAGCGTGTGTAAGATCGCTTCAGCAATTTGAGCAAAAAGCGCTTCATCGTCTCCCCAGTTGCTCCCAGAAACTGAGGGACGGGAGTCCACCTGGAGCATAATAAGCTGCTTCAGATAGCTCTTGTCCACGTCGGGAACAATCTCGAGGACTTGTGCGATGAGTCGAGGAATGCGACTGGGTGCCATAATTTCTTCTTGGGAAGCGGGGGGACTCGAGGCAGCTGACAGAGGGACTGGAAGATGTAGCGGACTGTCGTAGCGATCCATAGGCCGCACGTCGGCTCTCCTTTTACCTTTACCTTGAGGCGACCTGGATGCCGGTGGCAGGGCTACGGACAAGCCATCGTCCGCGTTTAAGAGTGCAAGAATGGCGTCGTCTTCGTCTATGGTGTCCGCATGTCAGACAATACGGTCGCAGACACGCCCAGTTATTGGACGCACCGTGGTCGTCGTCGGGCAAAAACAAAGGCGCCCTGAGACGGCGATCAGGGCTCCCGTCAACCTGCCCTCCACCTTCACGTGTTCTCCTTCTCTCGGAGCTCGCTACCACACACTTTTCATAGAACTCCTCCTCGTCGGAGTCTGATATTTCGATGATATCCTGCGGTTGCACTGGTGGGGCTTTCCGTCGCGGTGCGGCGGCCCTACGGGGGCGCCGGTGAGATGATGATGCATGGGCGTTGGATGGTCCAGCGACCTGATAGCCGACCACCGAGACGTGGTCGCTGTTCGAAGGCATCCGGACAACGTGGTGGGACAACGTAGGGTAAGGAGGCACGCGACGCGACCAACATTGCTGTATTCGAGGTCCGCACGTGATTCTCCCCGCGGTGTCAGGGGCCCGCTCAATGAGCGCATATTTGGGATCTAAACATGAACGGCTCAGGCAATTGCGCCAATATCGTGTGAGATCTTGTCAATTTCGTTCACATGCTGCCTGTACTGGTAGTATTTTACGAGGAAATTCCCTAGCCCCTCGCACGCGCCACAAGACTTGCTCAAAAGTAGCCCAAATTTGGGAGTCCTGCGTGCAACGCGGACTGGAATCCCATCTTCTGTGATCATAGGATGTAGTGCTGTCTAAAATTTGGCCCACCTCCAAGCATCTAGTCCCGGAATGCGTCCTCGACAAAGCTCCAGGGAGGGTCGAGTATTGTGCGCAAGCACACTGAACCATCAGCTTTCCGTAGTTAACCCCGCACTTCACGAATCACTAGCGATTTGCCGCTGCTCAAGATCCGGGACAGCAACATGTTCGAACTTCAAGCTTCACGGTCGATCTTCCATTTGAGTGGCATTGCATAATAGTTTCATCGACGGTTATGGTGAGTCCCTAGTGCAAGTGACTGACCATGTTGCTATGGGCTTATTAGTTGCCTTACAGCGTTTTCGGCTTCTCTATTTTGATCAGGCGGCCAGTCTGGGATGATCGTCGCTCAACAAAGGGCGCCTGCCTGGAAGACGTGTCGTTTGAGACTGGTTTCTGGACGTCAGTTCAGCGGTGGCAGCTTCAGATAATATGAGCTATAAGGAATATCTCATCGATAGTGTCTGTAGACAGCCGAAGATTTGACTTCCTCCCGTTCCTTCGTGCACGCCCCATCCGGGCCGCTCGTGCAACCTACTGCAGCTGTTAGTGCTGGCCTTGCGGACCACACGCTTCTATTGTGGTCGTCCTGAATTGCGGCAGCGATTTTGTTCAAATTTCCCCATCTGTAGCTGGTTACCACGGCAGGTCAGAGTCGTCCAAGACATTGTCGATGCACCACGTCTACCTGTCTCACTGTTAGGGCCGATATTTGGTCGCGACCCAGCATCAATATTTCAGCGAGTTCTTCTTTCTTACTTTGGTTATGCAACTCTCCTAACGAACTTTGTGTGCTCCTTCGAACGCCGGAAGTGAATTGCACGTCAGGATTGAGTACGGCCAAATTTGGAGAATTATTAAGCCCGCCTAGCTCAATCGGATAGAGCGTGAGACTTTTAAGTCTGTGGGCTTCAATTAATCTCAAGGCTGCGGGTTCGACCCCCGCGGTGGGCTAGTGATTTTGCCGATGTCTCCTGCGCCGACGTTAAGGCTCCAACCGTTTAGTTTACATGTAAACTTTTTTTGTAAACACACAGTAAACGGTTGTAAATGTTTATAAACAGTTTATAAACAGTAAACAAACAGTTATTACAGGGATCTAACCCACTCTAGTGGATTGCGCCAGATTAGCCTCTGAGAAACCTGTGTGAGCCTACTGCTCTACTTGAGCCTGAAAAGATAGGTACAAATGTCAGTGCTTGAGCAACGCAAGGCACTTGCTTGATGCGCAAGAGAAAAGCGAGGCTGCAGCTTCCTACTTACAATATTGATGTCCCAAACACTAGGCCCGACTCGGACGTGTATAGATAGTGCACCTACTCATGCGTACAGGGAAGGAGCAATGCGTGCATCACATCCCGAGCACGGACCGGCCATCAGGCAGCATCTGAACACTCCGTACCTCAAGCATCATGCTATGGTCATCCCTATGGCCCGCTGGTGTCCCCTACGCATAGTACGCAGATTGCGGGCACACGAATAGTCTCGATTGGCCAGTGGAGGTTGCGGGAGGACAAACACTGGCAATCACAAGCTGCAGGAGCGGTATTGCCAGGCAGCACTGTACTGCGAGGGTAAGACCTATGAAGGTATCCGTGGGGCTTGTAAGAAGCTTGCGGTTCCGCCTTTAGAAGGTTGGCATGTCCTATCATTGACCTCGTCATTGAGAAGTGGGCCGATAACCTATGCGAGTGTAGCCTGGCACTTCGGGGGTGACACGACATACTCTCGCGCTAGGACTTCGAGAGCTGGCTTAGAGAGACTGCCGCATGGGTGCGGACCTCTGATAGCCCTTTTAGAGTCAATCTGCCTTAGTATCGCATGTGTACTGTCATCGCT